GAGAGCACTAATGTCATCCGTAAAAACGGACTCGCAATACGGTCGGAAATATAAAAACCCTTTTCTGAGACGACTGACAACTAAAAAGGCAGAATACAAACTACGAAAACAACAGTCTCCTACCAATTTCCATGAACCGTAATCTTCTCGCTCTGAAGATCAGTCGAGGTGACATTTCGGTTCAGTCGATTCATCATCGTGGCTAAACTTATAATAAATGAATCTGAACAGGAGAAAATAAAAAACAAAATAACATATAGAAATTCGTATATAAATAAAAATAAATATACAAATTAGTTTCGAAAACAATTGAGGTGTCATGAAAAAGCTCTGTGTGGCTACAGTAACCTACGTAAGATCACGTATATCCACATGAAAAAAGTAGAGTGATTGGAACGATTGGAGCTACCGTAATTGAGCAGTGGATCAGACGTTGACAATAACAAGCAATGACGATTAAACTGAGAATCAGTTCGACTGTTTTTTGTTATATTCTATGACCCTCACTGTTCAACAAGTTGTCAACTATACAAAGACGTGCGATCCACTTATTTCAAAAATACCGAATTGGTTTCTATTTTGAGTCAGTAAAACTTTATTGGGATGAGGAACGAATACGTAAACGTTACAAATCATATCATTTGATGTCACTGGTTTTGATTGCTTCAGTTGACATCGTGTTACAAATTGAGGTTCCTCCATCAACAACCAAACATTGTCCTACTATGAATCCTGATGTTTTACGGTCTGCTAGAAAAGCTATAGTTTCAGCTATATCTTTAGGCTGGCCTATTCGTCCAACAGGAATTTTTGTTCTGTCTTCTTTTATGGCTTCAAACTTAAGTTTCAATGTTATGGAAAGAAAGTTAATTCATCGCAAACCATTTCACTTGCATCGATGCCTTGCTTTTCCATGATAGCAGTGAGTACAGCTCCGGGGCTAGAGACAGATTTTTGAAACTTTTTCTTCTAAATTCACGGATACTTACTTGACAGAATTAACGCGCACATCATCTTGGATATATCGAACAGCGTAGGCTCTTGTCATTTGATCTAAGGCGGCTTTTGAAGCTGCATAGTATGGAACACTGGTCCACTACAACAGCTATAGTTTTCTTTTCAAGCTTTCCTACTTACAGCAAAATCGAAAGCTGCAATACTGGAAACATTTATAATTTCTCCTTTAGATCTAATGAGATGAGGAATTGCCAAGTTCATGAGATTGACCACTCTGAGAAGAACTAGTTTCAATTTAGTATTTTGCTTGTATTTACGCTCTTGTGTTCAAATTGATAACATAATCGAAGCACTCGATGTTCAAGAAGTTTTCGGTATTCGTCATGTCAGGCGCAACTCCGCCAGCGTTGTTAATCTATTCATGGGAAATACAAAAAATCGGAGCACTGCAACTCACAAGCACGTCAATTCCTCCAAACTTAGCTACTGTATCATTTATAAGTTTCTCTTGTACTTTCATGTCAACTAGATCACCGATGATTTCAAGAATACAATCTTCTGTGCTTCCTGCTTCAATGAGGATGTCTCTTGTTTGCTAATACACGATAACTTGAGATTGAAAAACTTGCAAATACTTTTAAGGTCACGGAGTTTCTGCCGGTGATAGTTACTTTTGCTCCTTCTTCAGCGAATTTCTGAGCAGTAGCTCTGCCAATCCCATTACTTGAGCCTTCAATCAGTCATTTCGAAAAAAAAACTTGAAAAAAGTACCTGTGACAATAACAACTTTATCTTGGAATCGCTTAGCCATATTGGAAACAACGCAGATTGGAAAAGTTCTCTCAATCTGATAACACTGTAGAATTCAACGTCTTTTATATTATTTCTAGAGCAAGTGATCGTATAAGCTTCAAGATTAGGAAGTAATTGTCTGATATTTTGTTCAAATATTGTACAATTATATTGCAACAAAGTTTTCTTCATCACAACCAAGCACGAAGAAGGAACAATTTAAAGATTATTTTCAGTCATCATATTGGTTTGTAGTTTTGAATGGTTCATATTGATTCCAGCTTGATAATGCAGACACTGATGGTAGTGTCATGTTTTTCAATACAACCATACTTGATGAAGAATCTTTCAAGCGCAATTAGTAGTAGGAGAGATGAAACAGTCAGGAAGTCAATATTTACACACGTGGGACAGCTCAACAAAGTTGGTGACCAGAGAACCGTCTGTTTCAGAAAAAAACTTAACCGGCAAATCAAGTTTCACCGTACTACATTGAAAAAGTAATAAACAACATATTTTATCAAGAACACCAAACTGTGATTACTATCAGCTGTCGAACGAATGCTTTCTTTACATGTCTTGTAACAGTCCGGTTGAAATATGATTACTGATAGAAGATCCTCCATCGACCACTAAACTTTGTCCAACAATAAACTCAGAAGCTGTTCTGTCGGCTAAGAAAGCGATTGCTTCCGCAATGTCTTTTGGTTGACCAACTCTTCCGATTGGAATTTTGTTTCGATCATCTTGATACACCTCCATCTGTAACAAACGGTTGATGAAAACGTAGGAACGTATACAAATACCGCCTTTTCTCCTTTTCCTTGTTTCTCCAAAATATTGGTGGATATAATTCCAGGACTTGAAAAGACTGTTTGTTTTATGAATTTAAACTATGGATATACTTGATGCAATTGAGACGAACGTTATCTTTGATGTATTGAACAGCGTAAGCTCTAGTTATTTGATCTAGAGCAGCTTTTGTAGCGGCATAATAAGGGATGTAGGTCCACGAAAAAACAAAAGAGTAATAAATTTTAACCGAGAGTTACTCACAGCTGAGTTCAAAGCAGCAATACTGGAAACATTTATTATTTCTCCTTTAGATTTTATAAGGTGTGGCAGAGCTAGATTCATGAGATTAACAGCTCTTAAAGAGTTATTATTCGTCTAAGAAGTAAGCCAGAACTCACGCTCTCAAGTTAAGTTTGAAGACATAATCGAAAACGTCCATACTTCGCTGATATTCTTCTTTATTCGTTCTATCCGGAGCTAGCCCTCCAGCATTGTTCACCTAGAGATCACGAACTCTTACTGAAAAACGAGAAAGAGTTTAATACCAGAATATTGATCGAGCCAAATTTTCCGACTGTATCAGCAATGACTTTCTCTTGAATTTTTTCGTCTGTCAAATCACCGATAACTTCTAGAATGAAATCTTCAGGAGTTCCAGAAGAGACGAGTAGATCTTTCGTTTGCTAGGATCAACAACATAGGTGTGTTGGAAAAAAACGATTCTCACCTTCAAAGCTGAGGAATTCCTTCCAGTAATTGTTATCTTCGCTCCTTCCTCAGCGAATTTTTGAGCTGTGCCTCTTCCTATTCCACTGCTAGAACCTAGAAATAAACAAGTTATGAAAATAATGTGTATAGGGGTTTGCCTGTTATGATAACAACTTTGTTCTGGAAACGTTTACCCATCCTTGCTAGAAATGAATATACAAAAATAAACGTCTGATTGATAATAAATGAACAATTGGACGCTTATTTATACACAGAGATAGCTGTAAAACCTTTTCAATTAAAATCTTTACGACGCATTATAGTATACTTAGAGACAAACAATGTTTTGCATTCCATGCTTCGCTTTTTTTAAAGATTAATGTTAAAAATCTGCGACGTCGTCATAAACTTAGCCTTAACAAAGGATTTCCGATACCAAGTTCATTCCAATTGTTTTGACGCCATATTTTTCAGTTCCATCTTTACTTTCTTTTTTATCATTCTCTGTTTTTTTGTATCATTCTCTTATACGACCAATGATTCTTCATTGAACATTCATAAGATTTCATGAAAACTTGTAGATCATACTCTGAACATTGAAAATTGAATATTCGATAAGAAGTAAGAAGTTATAATGATTGAAAGAAAATAAAACCAAGCAGAACATAATTTATAAACTTACACATGAGGTTAAACTAAGGATTGGCGCGCGAAAGCACGTGCAGTCGGGCTAGAACTCACGTGCATTTCACGTCGCGTTCAATTATAGCAAGTGTCATTTACATTACGATGGGCTAGAAGAGCGGTTGTTTCTCAAATAATTTCTGTCTACTAACAGAACTTTTTTAAATAAGAACAAAATTTTGCTCCAGATAAGCTAGTTTTTTCTTAGACATCTTTTCGATAGAAAAGATTTCAAAGTGATTGTTTCGATTCGAGTAGCGACTACTGCGTTGAGTTTGTTAGTTCTGCAACATGAGATTACTTTTTTCTTTGAATGCTTCCATCAAAATCGTAAGAAAGACCATATATTCATTTGAAAAATCAATCATGTTTTGACTGGTTTTCACTTCTGGAACTTATCTGCCTAATGTCCTTTATGTGAATTCATCACCTAGGCACCTTATTCCGTGTTACATCACGTGTTCACTCTCTCTTTTTTCTCCTTTTTCCTTTTCTATCTTCTTCTCTTTCTGCTCCCTCTCTATCGCTGCTTTAAGTGAGTCCCAGGAAAGTCTATTTCTCCTTTTCTTAAGTTGTTCCTTCACTCTTGCACATGAATCTCAGTTAATCTATTCTTTAATCATTCCTTCGACCAAAAGTATACCAATATCTCAATTTGTCTTTTTCAAGATTTATCTCCATTCTTAGAGTTCGAAATCGAAAGTAATTTTGAATATTTCTTGTGATCAAAACCAATGGTTTAACCCATTTTTTCTCTATTCTAAGGTATTTGCTTTCGAACAAGAATATTCCCAAACAAGTGTGGTCAACTGCTTAAAGCGTTTTGGCAAATAAGGTAACTCTGATTATACAGACAGGTATATGTATATCTATTTCGAGGTTGTCTATCGTATGTTTCTCTTAGATCTATCTTCGAAAATTATTACATTATTTTCAAAGATTAATAGCGTCTTTTTCTCTTTAAACTTCTACTTTTTCAATATTATCGGCTTGTTTCATAGTTCATGTGCGGAGTGTAATTTTTCTGTACATTTATCTTTCTATTTCAGTCAAATTTCTTTTGTTCTTAGTTGATTTATACTTGGAGTGATGTATGGAAGCAAACCGAACGACTACAACGTTTTATCTACGTCAGAATGCCTAACTAAGGTGATTTTTCTAGTATGCAATGAACCTTTAAGAAAACTCGCAGGCACTCGAAATGAATATTTAAGAAGTTGACCAAGCTTAAGTGCACACAGCACTCGATGTGCACTAAGAAAGCCAACGTGCTTGGAATAGAAAATAGAAGTGAAAACTTCCATTTTTCAAACTATGAAGAGGTTCTAAGAATGAATATTACTGCTGCTTCTAAATTTTAATACCGAGAAGAAGAATTACTTTAAATGAGTCCAGCAAGTAGAGAGAATTGAAAAACTTGTATTTGTAAATATTTACCCATCAGAATGATTTTAAGTTCAGAATGTGAATTTCGAACTTATAGGATTCATCATGCAAAGGCACATCGCCATCTCCAAAAGACTACTGCAGGTTGCTTGGCATATGCTCACTACTCTCCTTCTCGGTTAACTTTCAAGTGAATAATGAAGATGAATCTATGAATGAGTAATGATTATTTTGAAGTATTCTTTCTCTTCAACATACACAAACTCAGCTGTAAACAGTTTCAAAAGTTATATGAACGAGTCGGCTCTGTTGCACGGAAACTCATTGACAGGTTTGGCATTTGATTTCTCTTTCACAATATCTCTCATGTACTTACAGAACAGTCATATTCCTTCTACTGGAACTGTATTGTTAACGTCTGGTTCATAGGTTTTTTAGCAGGCATTTGGATCAGTCGTTGGATTACCGATCATTTCGGAAGAAAACGTACACATGGTTCAAGCATTATTTTTTCAATAATTTTCGATTTTTTAGCAGCTTTTTTGATAGGGAATGGTTTCAACGTGCTCGGATCTTTATCAGTTTACTTCTCAATAGTTGTTTATGAACCAATAGTATTATTTATTGGAAGATTTATTAGTAGCACAGCAACATCTATTTCCTATTGTTCACTTATTTTGTATCTCCAGGTACGGGATGACTAGGAAACAGTGCATAATCGAATTTCCAGGAAGTGGCGCCCAATGGAAAGAAAGGATCAACAAGCTGTCTTAATGGTTGTATTTATTCTTTGATTGCCATTTTGGGAATAACTTTGGGCAATGATGAACTACTTGGAAAACATCTTGCTTATTACCTAGGTTTTGGAATTTTCCCATGTTTGTTACAACAGTAAACTGAAATCTATTCTTTGTTTATAGGTATTTTCAGTTTTGTTGCTTTATTTTTTTTGCCAGAAACTCCCAAGTATCTAGTTTCTAAAAACAAATTAGATGAAGCTGAAGATGCCATCCTATTTTATCATGGAAAGTCTACAAGAGCCACAAGCACATTGAAAACCATTCAAGATGTAGTTTTTGTAGTTTTCATATCTGATTTTTATTTTTCAGGATATCGATAGCGCTGATAATCAACTCAAACCAAAAATTGTTGATGTTTTCAAGCAGAGGCATCTTAGAAATGCTTTATGGCTTGCATTGGCAGCAATACAGGTTGGAGAAGTAATCAAACCAGTTTGAACACATTCGTTCTTAGAATACAGTTGCCCTTTGGACCATTCTTCTCTCTTCTACATACTATTTAGAAGAAACTGGGGTTGAGCATCACATAGCTCAATGGAGTAGCACAATAATGGCTATTGCATACTTTGCTGGAACATCTACTGGTGTCTTCACAATCGAAAAGTAGTTGAGTGTGTGCATAACCAGTAAAGCTAAAACCCACAGATTTGGAAGAAGGCCCCTGCTGATATGGTCAAACATCTTGAATATGTCATCATTGTTACTTTACACAGCGTTTGCCAAAGCTGAACCATATCTACCAGGCTCCAAATATGGCTGCTTACCCATGTTAGCTCTATTTGGCTGGTCATACGGGTGAAAAGTTAGAAACTTATAGAGATAATAACAGTTTTGTAGATGGGCCGTTGGTCCTGTAGCTCGTTTCATAGCAGCCGAACTCGTTCCAACTAAATATAGAAGCTTGATGACCGCCATCGTGTTCTCGGAAAATACAATAGTTAATGTAATAACAGCGTTTTCATGTCGTCCACTTTTTCATGTTCTCGGGCCTTATGCTTTCTGCATTCTTTATGTAGTGCCCTCAATATTCTGTCTGTTTTACCTGTTCCATTATTTACCAGAAACAAAGGGTAAAGAAATTTCAGAAATCGTCAATATTTTAAGAAATCAATGAAATATATTCATATTCTTATAATGTATAATAAAATTACTTTTATTTGATGTCCTGTTCAACTTATGAGTACGAAAAGTCTTATCATATGAAAGAAGATAAGACTCATATTTTATTATCCTGGATTCACCACGATGAGAGGTATCTTTCTGCTTTTTTTTAAATTTACATCTTTCAAACCTTCAGGATTTATTTTTATTTGTTTTATTGGTTGTGCAGTGGCAAGCTTAAAAGATTTGGGGTATCCAAACTGGCAATGTGATTCAAATGTTATGAGAAAGTATTATAAAAGCATACTTTAAAATCCCGTTTTCTTTCCTATTATAGAAGTGCTAAAGTTCCTAAAAACGTTAATTCTGTTCGTTATGGTGACATCAAAGTCATCGGAGCTCTGGGAGATTCTTTAACCGTAAGTTACTTTCTGGTTCTTTGATCTATTCAGCTTTTTTGACTAGTCTGGACATTTAATAATCTTCAAATCTTAAAAAAATGAGAATTTTATTTGAAGTCGTTAAGTAATAATAACTGATGACCATGATAATACATGTTTTTCTACAATTCACATATGTCTGTGTTAAGGCTGCAAATGGAGCTGGTGCATCCAAAGGTGATGCTGTGGCTGTTATCTTACAATACAGAGGATTAGCGTTCCAAATCGGAGGCGACAAATCGCTCGATGAGCATGTGACCATTACAAGTATATCAGCTTTTTTATTTTCCTAAAATATCAACAAGTCCAGATGTTCTTCGAAAGTTCAACCCAAACTTAGTAGGTTACTCAAAAGGAATTGGTTCAGCTAACGTTTGGGAGGTAGCGTTGTCAAATTCAATATAAATAAGAACTGGGAAACTCAGGTCTCTGAGCTCAATCAGGCAATACCCGGAGCAGAAACGAAGGACCTTGTAGGACAAGCTCGGATCCTTGTTCAGCTGATGAAAAAACATTCTGAAGTATTTCCAACCTCACGATTGTTCTCGAAATGTTTTCTTCCAAGATTAATGTTCAAGAAGATTGGAAACTTGTGAATATCTTCATTGGAGCCAATGATATGTGTGCATATTGCGGAACTAATGGAACTGTAACAGTTGTTTTACAGTAAGAATGATCATATAATGATTTTCAGGGAGCATACGATCCAAAAGTTTTCAAGCAAAATATCATAGACGCTGTTAAAGTTCTTCAAGATAGTCTCCCTAGGTGAATCAAACTCGAATCTGATTATACCTAGTTGTTTCAGAACTATTGTATCACTAACTGGTATGATGGACATGGGAATGCTCAGAACTATTGATAGGAAGAAATATTTCTGTGATGGACTTCATGTGTAATTTTTAAATATTTGTATCGTTTTTCATTTCACCACAGATTTGAATGTCCCTGCGAGAAGAAAGCTTCATTCACTAACGACGACATCTCTGCTGCTTGTCATCTAGAGATGAACGCGGAACAGCAAATTCAAGACCAACGAGTTTTTGACACTGAAGATTTTACCTTCGTCATCCAACCCTTTCTCAACAACTTGACTACACCTCCAATGGTAAAATGACGTGTGTTCCCACGAAATATTTCCTTCAGACCCCTGATGGAGAAGTAGATCTGACGTGGTTTGCTCCTGATTGTTTCCACTTTTCCCAGTTCGGACATGCTAATATTGGCAAACATTTATGGAACACCATTATCCAACCTGTGGGAGCAAAGCAGACAAGCGTTAACCTTTCTGATCCTACTATCCCATTACGCTGTCCAGATGCGGTGAAGAAATTATATAATTTTATTCAAGTAATTTATAAATTTTCAGTCCTGCCCCTTCTTCAGAACAGTTCAGAATAGCAAGGATTGTTCCAAGTACATGACGAACTAAAGCCTGGTGGATTGCTCCTTTCATACAATAAAGCTCTTGGAAAAAATGCCGCGATATTCAATAAGCTACTCAATAAATTATTATGTCTTTCTCTTCCTCTCACACTAAACTACAATCTGAGTATCCAATTAGAGAGACCATAAGCATGACAAAAAAACGATTTCAATAGAAATGTAAGCAAAGAATGATTATATTTTCACCTACAATCTTTTTTATTGTCATAGTTTAAGAATAATAGGTGGAAGATTGAAGATATGAATCAAGCGTCTTATTATCAGTCTAATATTTCAATCTATTCGTCAATAGGAAAATGAGGATGGCTTCCCTGAATAGCCCAAAAGGTAGCTCATTCGGACGCACTTCGAGGATATTTCATTTTTAGTCTTGTTCTTATGTTGCTTTTCGATTCCTTTTGTGTTTGCTGTTCTTCCTGACTTAGGAGTACCCGGATGGCATTGTGACGCCGATATAATGACGCCGTACAACATAGAATTGTTGTTATCCAATTTTATTTATGCCCCAATTTAGAAGCTATACTATTCCGCAGTCAGCTCATCAAGTTAAGTACGCGGACTTCAAGATTGTAGCTGCTCTGGGAGACTCATTAACTGTAATCTAAGTTCTAACAACATGTATATATCATTTTATATTTTCTGGCTGCAAACGGCGCAGGTGCTTCCAAAGGTGATGCTTTTGCAGTTATTTTGCAATATAGAGGATTAGCGTTTCAAATTGGAGGAGACAAATCATTGGATGAGCATATAACATTACCAAGTAAATTCGTTTTCTTTATACTTGAGCCGAGTTTGATTCAGATATTCTCCGAAAATTCAACCCGAAAGTGTTTGGTTATTCGAATGGAATTGGATCTGCTAATGTTTGGGAAGTAACTTACAGGAGGGTTCGAGCTTTTTTTAAAAAAACGTGTCTTAGATATCTCGGTTAAATCAAGGAATACCTGGTGCTGAAAGTGGAGATCTGCCATCACAAGCCAGAACCCTTGTCTCTTTGATGAAACAGCATTCTGAAGTTTTAAGAAACTAAGAAATCTGATTGAGACTCTACATATTATAGGTGAATCTTCACCAAGATTGGAAGCTAGTAAACATCTTCATTGGAGCCAACGATGTTTGTGGATGGTGCAATACGAATGGAACTGTTCGTTTATTTAACATAGTGCAAACCGTTCTCATACAATTACAGGGAATGCATTCAAAAGAAACGTTTAAACAAAATCTAGTGAATACATTGAACATCCTCAGAGATGGCTTACCAAGGTGAGCTAATATCAAAATGAGCTGTTTTGATTTTATACATTCAAGAACAATTGTTTCTTTAACTGGAATGTTTGATATGACCATGCTCCGGAAAATTGATAAGGGCCTCGAATTCTGTGATGAACTACATGTGTCCGTTCTCTTTTAAATAAAAACAAAATCAAAAATTGATAAAACTATTTTAGATTTGAATGCAGTTGCGAAAAAAATAAAAATTTCCCTGATTCGCTCATGCGATCTGCATGTCAAGGCTTCATGGTTTGAAGAATTCAAATGTGTAATATCAACTCAAAATTTGAAACTTCAGTCTGTCGAGCAAGATATTCAAGAATCTGGAATGTTCGATACAACCGATGACTTCACCTTCGTCGTTCAACCATTTCTGAACTTGATTCACGAGCCACCCAGAGTTTGAAAAAAATATCTTTACAGTTGACAAAGATTGATTGAAGAAACCGGATGGAACAATAGACTTGACTTGGTTTGCTCCTGACTGCTTCCATTTCTCTCAGCTGGGGCATGCGAACGTAGCCAAGCACTTGTGGAATTCTATCATAATGCCTGTTGGATTTAAGCCACCTTCAGTTAACCTATCGGACTCAACCATTCCTTTATATTGCCCATCAAAGGTAATGTTTTAAGTTTGTTCGAGTGTTAACGTTATTCTTCAGATGTGCCCTTATTTTCCAACAACTAAAAACACCAATCAACAGTGCACTAAGGTAGAAAACCCAATTATCAACTGATAGTTTGGAGGTTTTAATAATTATGTAATAAAAATCTAAAACTAGATTCTCTTTATGATAAGATAAATAACAAATGAAACACTTACGCATTTCGAATAGCTTTCAAGAGGTGAAAGATAAAAGACCACGTGCTTTTCCCATCACAATTCTAAAAATGTTCAATTTTATATACATCAGTATGTCATTGAAATTGAAAGAAATATTATTTTTCCATTTTTTTTGAAAAATAATCAGATTATTCTTTTATAAATAGAACAACCGTTTAGCTGCATTGTGAATTGAAAAATGAAAGACTGATCTTTAACTTTCACGTGGGTGGTAGGAGTTCTCAAAAGACACAGGGGACTAAGAGTGAAAACTTGATTGCGATACAAGCTAGAAAATGTCTCAAAACTGATGACTTGTACTGTACATCGAATTGAGGAAATGAATTGTTGTTTGACCGATGATTATGAAATTGAGCATTCTGAAGAGAAATGCAAAACCTTTCAAATCCTCTGGATTATGACGATATTCAGCCTCGGTCTATCATAAGTGCTTATCTCGAAATAGCTGTATGAGATAATCAAAACAGTACTCAGATATATTGACTGTTAGCTATTCATTTCTTTCAACAAGAAAGCTATCTGGATTATACGAATTCCATGGAATATTTTTTAAATGTTTTTTTCATAAGCAAAAACGAGGTTGAAGCTTGATATTCAACTCTAATGGCACCATTTTTCAAAAAGAAACTGTGTTGCTAACCAACCCCCATGTGTTTTCAGTACTTAGAAAGTAACCAGGTAGAAACCCAACATTCTCTTTTAATGTCAAGAAAGTACTCTTTCACTCTCTCTGAAGATGACTTCAGAAAACAAATCAAACCACAAGGTTAATTATAATTTCCTAATCATTCATTCACTTATTATATTCAGTTGATTCAGTGCAGATACCATCCAATCAACGTGCACCTTCTGTTATCCCATCACTGAACAAGAAATACGAATATGAAGACTTTGTCAAAACCACACTCAAGAACGATCAACGTCAGCTCAATTCTCGACAATCCGTAACAGACAACTTATTGGCTCATCAAAACAAAACAAATTTCAATAAAACCGTTCGCCCTCGCAGTAATTCACATGTTAGTCAAAGCGCTATTTTCTATTGCTTTACTCTTATATTTAGAGTAATGTTTATAAGAGATTCAGTAATAGTCGATACTTCGATTGGGACGATACAGCCTATGTGAAACGCGATTCGCTCAGCTTCAACCAATCAAACATAACAGAGTATATTTATATTATTTTATATGCGAAGGTAGAATTCATAAACTGAGTTGCAGCGACAGCTCGAGAATAATTGATGAAAGACGTGAATGTGTTCTCTGTCGATTCGCACGTGATGCTATAGAAAAAGAGAAAAAAGAAGAAAAGCTCAAAAAAGAAGACATGATGAGGAAAACGTATCAAAGTGAACATTGTCGACAATTGGAATATTTGGAGAAGCTTCTGCAATGAGAAAACTATGAATTATTACTATTTTTCTGCTACTAACCTGTTCACCCACGTATGCTTTGTACCCTTACCCATGAGGAAAAAAATTCTGTTTCACGAATTTCATTTAAAATAATGAACTTTATCCCCTACTCACCCACAACATAGAATTTACATTGAATTAGTAAGCTTACAACGGGGTCTCATCTGGCTTATATTGGCAGAGCAGAAAATGGATTGGATGAAACCATGTACGACACAATGACCATTTTAATAAGAATAATGAAGATTTACATTGTGCGAGTAAGTTTCGAATAAGGAGCTTGTAACATAAACGTCTATCACGAAAAAGAGGTGTTTGTTAAGAGTCTTCTGACATCATAAGTCAAAAAGGAGAGTAGAGAGGGATAAAGAAGTAGAATTGAAGAGGACGAGAGCAGATTGAAGAATGAGTGGAAGATATAAAATAGAAGATGAGCGAAAAGAAATGGTTCATCATTCTCATCCACTTCCTCTTCTAGAAGCTGTTTTTATATTGAAAAAATGAGTTTCGATAATAAAAAAAAAATTTCCAGAGAAAAAATTGTCTAGAATGTATTTTCCCTCTAAGTTCAATCATTGTGTCACATGAACTTCTCAAATTACTTAATCCATTGATGGCTCACAGAGGGCGATGAGTTGTAATAAAACTTATTTGGAGAACTCAGGCTTTTATATTAAACATATAAATATATGAGTTGACGTTAGTCGTATATTTTGAGCTTCAACTGCCACTCCCACTCGAGCGAAAAGTAAAAAATTTGTCTTCTAATAGATGAATTCATCTCGTTTTGTAGTTTTTACATTATTTAACGATATTTCAACAAGCTATTAAAATTTTTGAGTAATAGAGGCAACCTGGTCAAATTTCTCTTTCTCTCTCTCTCTTTGTTGGTCAATATTTTATCTATTTTTGACTCTCTTTTTATCCTCTCTCTTTCCATACATACACAATTACATTCTGTCTAACTTTTCTTTTTATAGGTAATTGCTTGAGACCAAATGTTCAGAAAGCTTAAACTGTGGCCTTAGTTCCCGTTACTTGACTAACAATTAGCTTCTACCCCCTTTCAATAGCGTTTTATGTACATGCAATACTCTAATCATCTTTTGCTATGAACTTTCAAGCGATAACTCTCTTTTACCCTTTTATTAAACTTCCATTACTAGTTTTCTTTGCTAGACTCATCAGGGAGAAGCTGTCGGAATCACTCTATAGACATACTCTCTCTAATACTCACGTATATGCATGTTGTAGTCCAAAAGTTAGAAATGTCACCAACCTCATGAGCTTTTCGATCGAGATATTTACTCAACGAAATCTAGATATAGATAACTGTTTTTGCTCTTCCGTATTGGGACGTGAGAAGCTTATGTATGTTCACATACAACGTCTTCCACGTCCTTATGTCACAGATGAAACTTTGCTTCTGTGAATATTTAATTTCCAGAGTTTAAAAACTATTTCTATGAGTTCTTTTCAACAAGTTTCCTTGTATTGTGTAGAAGCTAATCGAATCTCCTTTTGACACAAGTGAAAATCTCTAACCCTTCTCTGTGTATGATTTCGTTTATTCGAGTACGTCTTTTTCCAATTTAATCTGAAAAATCTGATAGAGAAACGCTTTTATTTAGCATATTTTTCATATTTTCCACGATTAATGAAAGGAAATTCGCTTAATTTCAATCGTATTCAATAATTCTCTGTTGCTAACATCATAAAATGAGCAGAAAAGGTTTTGTATTTCAAGGAAAAACATATAAATTGGAAAAAAACAGGATAAAGAAGATCAAGTTTTAAAGTTTTTTAGCTGTATTTTGCTTTATATTTCTTAATTTATTTCTACTCTTTCATGTTGTCTCTAGGCTCTGTTGCTCTGTGTGGGTAGCAAGCTCCTCTTCTTCTCATATTCAAACATATATCTTAAAATACCTTACTAGGAAACCTCTTTCATGTTCACAATGCCCAAGAAAAGTGAGAAAAAAAGCAGAAGAAGACTTACTAAGTGCGAGAATAGTTGAAAGAGAAAGAGGGAAAAAGAACACAGTGCAAAAACACTTTGAAAACCTCCGAAAGTAAGGAAAGAGAGGTTTTTCTCGATTTTATTACACCAAGATATCTGAGATTAGTCCCTTTTTGCTGGGAGCAGCTTAGGTTTCACAAAGTTTGTTACTAAAACGAATGAGTTGCAGTAAAAGCTTAACCGACTCCTCACTTCTGAGCTTTACCTTAGTGCATTTCATTCTATATGTGCTTGTTTATTATCTTATTTTGGTCGTTTCATGCTTTTTTGGGCGAACAATGTAATCATCTGATTGAGTTACGCCCTTTCCTTTAGCAAAAATGAGAAGAAGACAATAAAAGTCAATTTGCTCATTGCAATGAAGATGATCATCAATGTTTGACAAAAAAACAAAAGTACTTCTTTGGTAAAAAAAAAACTTCTGTGGATGATTCTTGTGGATGATTCTATCTAACTTCCTCTTTGTTAAGCTCTAAAAAATCCATTTTAATCGAAACATGTTCCGGTGAATGAGACAAGTAATTCTTCGAGAGCTACGGATACATTTTGTTTCTTAATCTTTATTTTCTGAGCTTTTTCTATTTTTTTGATCATTTATATCTAAAGATTACTCTTCATTGCATAGTTATTAAAATTTATTATCGAATTTCTAAAGAATTATCTCTCGCTTTTCTCTTTCAACGGCTTCCCCTGGGATATGCAATCGCTCTAAGCGAACACAAGGATAACTATCTCACCTCATCTACACACTCTTTGTATTCGTTTACAAATATTCAAAAAAACTTTATTTTTCGAGCAAATGAAGTTTTCTTCTGACAATGCTCGTTCCCTTGACACTTCTCCTGTTTTTGTTGTTAAAATGTAAAATATCCTCCATACTTACATTTAGATTTGTAGATTACAACCAAGAGTGATGAACTTGCATAGCTTTTACGAGAAGAATTCTTTCATTCCAAGATAGTTGCCTTTTTCATGATCATCTGTAAGTGACAATGCAAGTTCAATGTTAGAATGAAGCTAGAAAAGTTGAATCATATACTTCACCTTCAAGCGTTCTTGTTGTCCTTATAGAGTTTAAAGGAGTTCTAATCGAGTTCCATGTTCTTCAACAGCGAACATTTAAAACTGTCTCCACGCACAAGATTATGTGATAATCCGTTTTTTATTAATTTATTCTCATTTTACAAACCTTATAATCAGCATAATAATGAAACAAAAGCTTGTCCATAAGCTTGAATAATATTCATATTTACTTCCTTATAACTTGTCTTCAATGACAAGCCTAGTGTAACTCAGTATTCGATTATTCCTGTCAGTTCTTTATTCACTAAAAAAACCTTCTTTCATAAATTATAGATATGCTTTCATTGCTTATATCACACTAGATATCTTCTAAGTATACAAGAAGCCTCTCAACTGCCAGAAATGTATCCGTCTGTTCCTCACCTCTCAAACTTCATTGCGTAGCCACTTTTTTTCGCATTAGTTATAGAACTTCCTACTCTCTCTTTTTCTAATTTCATAAATTTTTTTTGTTTTTGACATCTTAATCTGATCTCATTCTCCAAACTGGAATCATTTCAGTCACTTTTATCTCCCATCTACTCTTTCCTCCTTTCTCTTCATTGCCCCAACATATTTCTATTTTAAAAAAAATTGAATCCAATGTTTTCCTTTTTTTTCTCTGTAACTTATGGTTTAAAAGCTAAGAACGCTGATGAGTGAGTTCAACCTGTCAATACGTCATGCTAATTTCAAAATGAGCCGACCATGCTCATTTCCACGTAAAATTCAATTTCCACGTGTCTCACGTGACTCACATAAACATATTCAGAAGCATTTCTCAACCAGAAAATAGAGATTAGTATTCTATAAGCTATGTTTATATTTTATTTATTATTAAACAACAAACCATCTTTTTTATTTCTTCTTCTTTGTATGTTGCAAAGAAGCGTTTCTCTTTTATTAAAAATATGAAGAGAACGGCTTGAAAAGGAGCTGAACTTGTCAGATGTTTGCTAGACTTCATAAACTGAATTATTTTTTCTTTAAACTGAATATTTTCCCGCATTCATTATGATTAGAAAAATAAAATATTCATTCATATTATTATTTTCATTCTATCGTCTATTATCTATAAATGGTAGAAAAGTTATTCGTTTAATACAATAACATACAAAAATACCGATGTATGCATACCCTCTTCTCATTCCTCATTACATTCTCTCTTCACACTTCTGAAGTTCGGAAACGTGAAAACAAAACAGAAAACAATCATTTACTTGACTTTTAGATCTTGTCAATTTTGGGTTAAAAGCTTCAACAACCTTGATCTGAGTTTTTGTCAAAATAAAGGATAAAAGAGTTTCTCGCTTCAAAAAACTTCCGTTTGACTTTCCGACTGAGAACAAGAGTTTTCTTTCAGAATTTTAGTTTTCACACCTTTTTGTCGTCTTCTCATCTATTCGTCGATTCTGCTTCATCTCCTCTCAAACAAATATGATCGGACAAGCCAGTCATGATTAATACCTTTTTTTGAAACTCATTTGTTATTAGTCTTCTAGTGTTTTCATATCCTCCTTTCTTACGAGAAGTTTTGAATATTACGAAAAAGATTGTAACAATAATGCTTTTAGATGAAGAGTTCCCCTCTTATCTTCATCTCAAATTCTTCGCGAGCTCAATACAACCTTTACCTAACTTATATCTATTTTTGATTTTCTGCCAATTGATATTACATTCTTACTTTCTGAGTATTTTGAATAAATTTTTCATTTATATCCTATGTTTTTCCTATTTCAATATTTCTGGTCACTCAAATTCTCAAGCAATTCAGTCGCTCAGTTGTTATTCTTTGCCCAAAATAGTTATCCTAGCACTTAAATCACTTTAATCTATTAGCATTTTTTATGAATTTCATCTCTCACAACTTCACTTACAATTTTGGATCTGTGGATATCACTTGTATTGAGAGGCATGAGTCGTGCGAATTGGTGTCCTGACGAGATCCAGGAAATTACATTCGAGGCTCTCTCACTCTTGTTATATTTCTATTTCATCATATCAAAAGAGTGCTTTTTAAAATTTCTCCAATGTTTCGTCATAAAACTCCTTTTTTAGACCATTTCCCGTTGTTTCTCTTGTTTTTGCGTATTCTAAGTACAAACTGATCGGAACGACAACAAGCCATAGCCTTTCGTGCTAATCCTCCATACGAACGAAGGTTTTGTTGTATGTCGTCCACATACTCTCATGCTCACAGTTCTTTTCCTACTGTCTAAAACTTCCATTAAAAATACGTTAAGTTTTGAAATTCATACATCTTGACCTTTTTGTTATACTATAATGGAAGACTGAATGGCCTATTTGAAACACAGCATCTCAGTTCCTAAACTTACTTCCATCTTGTACCATCCTAATTGCCTATAACTCTGCTAATCCTTTCGTTTACATAGATTCATTTCAATTACTACTTCACGTGATTTTTTCATTTTTTCGCGGAAGTTCGTTACTAAGTCTTTCTTTAATTTTAGCCACTGAAGAAGAGTGAAACAAAGGAGAACAGTTGAAAGAATGAGAGAGGCAGGCAGAAAGAAAGAGAGGGAGAGAGCGAGAGAGTGAGGTATGGAAGCTTTCAAAACTACAAGAGAAAATTGGGAAGGTTTTGTTTGCAAAGAAAAAAATTAATAAAATATTTCCATTTTTCGAGCTTCTGAATTTATTCCTTTGTTTTACTTCCTTCTTCTAATGAATCATTCAAAGCTCTTGTCAACATCGCCATAACTTTCTCAGTTTTTTCAGTTTTCTCAATTAACTTTTGTGTTCGAAACTGGTTGACCGCGAGATTTGTGAATAGTTGCAATAGGAGAAGCACAATGTAAGCTTCCATTTATTTTGTCGACTTTTTGTGTTTGACGACTTAACTTGACACCGCTTTTGAACTGTCATCGTCAGTTAACAACTTCCATTGCTTTACGTAGTCATCATTCCCAGAATTACTCCATATTCGATCACCACTAACCTTCATCCAATGGATTTTACTGCTGCTCAGTTCCTCAAACTCATAAAATATTTAAAAATAGGTTTTAAATTCTCTTCTAAACAACTAAGCACAAAATCACGAAAAATCTTATCATGCATCTTGTTTTGCTTTTTTGATCAGCCAGCTTTCCTTTAATCAGATGAGTTTGAGGAGTCAGAATGACGAATGCAGCAGAATCTGCATGAGCATCATCTGGGACATGATGTACACGCCAATTTCATTGAAACTGAAAAATCTGTTGAAGTTTTCAGTTATTTCCACAACTCTTTGTCTCTTCTTTGTAGGGCTCCGATTTCAAATTAGTTCGTATTTGAATTATGAATTTCTGTCTTGGCACCAACGATAGCAATCCGTTGTGAATAGAAAACTCTTCTCTTTTTAAAAACCATCGAGTTATACAAGCTGAAATCATGTATAACTTGGTGTTTTACATCTTTTCGAATTTGTATCCGATACACAAAGAATGTAAATGAAGATTTATGTTTCAAAATAATCGCTTTTTCCCGTCTTTTCCATCTTGTGTTTTCATTTGATAGAAAATTGATATTTTTCCCCTTCATCCCATTATGAATGTTCTCCTTCGAATTTCAATGCTTTTTATAAACTTTTTTTTGATTTGGGAACGAATGAAAAAAAAACTTTTAAAAAAATGTGTAATGCAACCGTTCTTACGCTTCTTCAGTTAACGAAGTAAAAATTTTCACGTCATTATGTACGTGAAAACGTGAAAAGAGAGTGGCGAAGTCCAGCTTTTCCAAATTCATGAGAAGGCTCAAGAAGTAAATCAAATTGAAACTGAGAATGAAGCAAAGATCTTCAAGTGTGAGGAGAAAATGAAAAATATAAGTTTGTCTAGCAGCTTTCTTCAGATGCTCTTACACTATAAAGTGAAGTTTTATTGTGAATTCTTCTCACAGTTCTTTTATTCTTTCGCAAAGATCCGTATTTTAAAAATTCAAAAAAAAGTGAACTTTATGTTTACACATATACTTACATACATATGTGTCCGTATACATATATATATATATGTAAATTTGCCGCTTAATTCCCAAATTTCAAAGAGCATGTGTTCTTATGTTCGAAGGACTTTGAATATTTGAATTTGATAACTTTCGTGGGAGCCTTAAGTCACAAATCTCAAGATGAATTCATACGTAACGGACGCCTTCTAAGAAGAGAGATGCGAGTATCTCTCGCAAATATTCTTGGATGGAATAATATTATTCTTTTTGCTCATTCCATCCTCAAACTTCTATGCACCTAGTAATGAACTCATTTTCTCATTCATTCATTTTACATTTTTTGCTTTATTCGCAGATGTTCAAACGAATCGTGTAAGCTTTACATGAATGTTTTTTTTTGATTTTCTCGTATCTTTCATCTGTTTAACAAAAAATTATAAACTTATTCTTTCTTTAATAATCATCTGGTTGTGTTTTCTCATGCTCTTTCTTTATAGAATGGAATGCAATGATTCACAGATTTTTAATCTGGAGAACAATTTGACGGTGACAGTCCTTAACACTCTCTGGGAATTCAAGAAGTTGGTTTACAATTTTTATTTGTTTTTTCTCAGAGGTTCTACACCACATGCATGTGAAATGATTACGTTTGAACAATCTAAATCAGAAAATTTGAATGAATTGTTTCCACGCATTCTTGAGAAACGTATAAACTCCTGTTTTCAGTGCTTATTCACCGTTTCATCGTTATATAGCGGTCCTGCTTTGCGTTTGTGGTCTCTTGGCTAACTCTATTCATATTTGGGTTTTGACTCGACCGCGTATGAGAACATCCTCCGTTCATACAGTTCTTACATGTATTGCTATCTCTGACATGGGAACAATGACGTCATATTTGGTAATTACTTTTAGAACAACATATATAAATCTTTTAACAACAGATTTATATGCCGAGGTTTGAATTTCTCCAAGATCACTCAGGATATCAATATGGCTGGGCATTGTTTTTGAAAGTTTATTAAACTGAAAATTCGATATTCTTTAGCAAATTTTTAAGGTTCATGTAGTTTTGAGCATAGCTCTGCATGCAATTACCTTGTACTTAGTCGTTCTCATGGCATTCATACGTCTATCAGTTATGAAAATTTCAACTTCACAGTGGCTCCAAACCGGCAGAACATTGTGAGTTTTCTTTGTCATATGAATAAGATGGTCACAGAAAACAATGTTTATGTTGTGCGAGCTATTCAATTGAATAGTCGAATTAAACGAAAAAAAATTTCATTCGACACATTGCGTGAGCATACATTTTCATTTGAGTCCTATTTAACAAAGTAATTAGGAATGTGCTGGAAGGATTAGCAAATGATTGCTTCAATTTCGATCACAATAAATCAATTTCTTGTCCAATATTCTCTTTTCAGAATCGCTGCAATCGCCATAGTATTTTGTGTTTTTATGCTCAGTGTGCCAACATTATTAGCTCATCAAATAAATGTTCATCGATATTTGGATGACGTTGGAAAAATGAAAGTTAAATATAGGTATGCTAAACTAATTGAATTAAAATGAATTACGAAGAATAAGAGTAGTGATTGAGAATACAACCGATCTTAACGTTTGATGAAATGAAAATAGAAATCGAGCGACAACGCACAACTTGTTGTAGGCGGTGAAACACTCGAACCCTTGAGAATCAGAAACACTTAATCGAATAACATTGAAAAAAATGAATATCAAGAGTTGCAGCATTGGTTTCTCGGATATGATGCTATCTGATGGATGTTTCTTCATGAAAGCCAATTTATGGTTAACAGGGATATTCCTGAAAGTATAATAGCAGATGTTATACAAGTCATTTCAAAAATATTGCAGGCCATCCCTTGCTTTTTGCTCATTTGGTTCACAATCGCTCTAATTGTACGTCTCCGAGAAAACAATGAAAAACGTAAGCAACTACTTCGGATGAAGGAGGATAAGCATAAGCGCAAAGGAGATGTCACAACTTATATGTAATCACAACGAACGTATTAGTAGGAAAATAGTTTATCATTCAGGTTATTGTTTATGGTGTCCGTTTTTCTGATCACAGAGTTACCACAAGGAGTCATGGCGATATTGAATGGTTCAGAGTCTTTTCCATTTAATTTACGTTCAGCTTCTTTCCAGCTCTGTATACCTCGCAGTTTCATCAGTTTGTATACCTGGCATTAGCTGATATTTTAGATTTATTATCTCTCATCAATTGTTATGTGGCCTTCCTCGTATACATCTGTACTTGTTCTCGCTATCGCCAGACGCTACTCTCTATACTGGGTAACATGCCGTACGTTTTATTATATAAATAACATTCGAATAATCATATTATATTATAGAGAAGTATTTTCTGCTATTTCAACACGTCAAAACACGATGAAGCGTATGCAACCGAAAAATCGTCGTGAGCATCTTGGTGAGAACGAGAAAGGAAAACTATCTGCAGCTGCGAACCAAACATCTCCATTAATCAGCAAAACGGATGTTAATTTATAAGATTATCTTCCATACATGGGTATGAAATACTGGTATATTGAAAGATCTATTGAGATTCTTAGTTCTTGCCTCATTCAACAATAATAATATGAGTTTGTTTTAGTTTTTATTCAGATTTCAATTATGTCTCAAGATGTAGTGAAAATTAAAGCAATTATGTACGGGTTGTTATAGTTCTTCTTATTAATAAAAGAATACAATTTATATAATTATCAGAGGGTATTCTCAAGCAATAATATGCCAATGTGATATTATTACTCATGAACACCTTCTAATATTATATTTTCGAGCCTTAAAGATAGTCTTCAAGGGAGATATGTTCTGCCATATGGAAATGAACTAGGCAATTGCTGGAGACATTACTAATTCAGAAAGACCTTTCTTTAAATAAGGAACGAATAAATGAGAACAATTGCTCAAACATACGAATAAGAAACATTTAAAAAATAAGTTTTGTTCTCTTCTTTCTCTGCTGCTCTTCTCGTTTCCATTTTGCTATTTGGCAGTTATAATGAACTATAGATGAAACATTTGAAAGCATTTGAATTGATGAGTTTAAAAGGAAAATGAAAATGAGTTGATTGCCAATTTCCATAGCTGGTGGCCAATTTTCATTTCGATTAAGACGTTAATGAATTGAATTTTTAATATAAGTTTCTGTGAACGAGAAGACGATTTGAAATTGAATCATCTATCAAATGTTTCGTAACAATCACGGCATTTTTTTTGCAAATTTTCAATTAAATCTATCTGGTGTTTAATTACGAAATTAAGAAGAATGAAATTTGAAAAGCAAGTTGAAGCCGTTTTTCATCATTTTAAACGATATATTCCGGAGATTAAACGACATGAGAATTTCAAACGAACGTTCTTCCTTTCTCCTCAGACTGGGAATTAGTTATCAGTCTTGAATGAACAATCATCGCTCATTATGGCTCAGCTTAATCAGGGTAAAACTGTTAGAGAGATGAAAACGGTTAGTTTTTAATTTATTTTAAGCTATATAGTGAATAAGGGAAAGAACTCTTAATGCTGTTCTAATGTAATGAGACAAAGCCATGCTACCATCCGGGCCTTGCTCATCTTGTTGACCCATCTTTCTTTCTTCTGCATCTTCCTACCAAATTTGGCACGTAGTATGGGAAGGTTTGAAAATAATAAAAGCAGTTGACGGTTATAGTTTCGTTCGAAACAAAGTATAAGAACAAAATTTTTTATTTCATTCTCCATTGTATGAAAGGTGTAAAGAATGATAGGTAAGGACCAAATGCGTTTTGAATCCCTCAAACTATCAAAAACTATTTCAATTTGAGAGTAGTGGGAGAAGTGCTTGGTATACACCGTGTTTGAATTTGGAGGTGAAGCAGCTTCAAACCCTCTTAGATGCTAGATAGGTTTCAAGAAACATAATCCTGATGAAAGATCAAAACGCATGAGCTTAATGAACCTTTCATTTTCTCAAGAGTATTTCACATTTTTCTTGTTCTATAGTGTTTCTCTTGAAGTTTAAAAAGTAAGCAAAAACTACACATAAAACAGAGAATAAGATAAACGAGAGGTATTTACACCAAGTGACTTCATTTGTGAGTATAGTAATGTTCAAAGAGCACAGAAGTAAGCTCATACAAAGGACTCTGATAAGATTGAAATAGGTAAAACCATCGTAACTGTATACAAACACATAGACATCAGAATATAATATTATATCAAAAAAAGATCAACAATGCCGCTGACGTTCAATAAGGTGAGGAAAGAAGAGGAGATGCCCTAAGGGCACACACACACACCCATGGTTCCCAACAGCGTATAGCTTAAAAGCATCAATGGGGGTGGGGCTCATTTGGATCTTTCCCTCTTTTCTCTTTCTCTCTTATATCTCTTTTTCGATCCTCAACATTCATCGAGTATGTTTGTGAATATAAAAGCACATATTGTCAGCATTTCCTATTATAAGCAATGATGGATTATTAACAACCTAATTATATGAGGACATATGGATATCGTTGTTGTATTAAAGTCTCTGTATCTATTCATCAGCACATATTACGACTGATATATAATTCTTTACCAAAATTTCAATACAAAACTTTGAAATGAATTCCATTGCTTATATTAACTGAAATGAAAACTAGGCGACAATGTTCCTTCAGAACGATTTGAACGGGCTTCCTGCCTTCTTTAGTAGTTGAGAAACGCTTCCAACAAATCCTTCTTTCAAAAAGCAAAAAACGAATACAATTACATAATTGATGTATTAACATGAGATTGACCAGCGAGTAGTATTGTAGTTCAGAACTTGTTTTCATCTCTCCGTTAATAGCTTTGAGAGTCATGAGAAAAGAGAGTAACACTCAATATTCTCTGAAAAAATATCTTAATCAATTGAAGAGCCATGTATGAAGAAGAGTCTCATTTAATACTCTAAAGCATGAGAAGTAGCTGTTCGCATTCCAAATACTTCATATAGCTAATTGAGTTAACTTAATGAGAACGTGGGTATTGCATATATATGTACATATGTACGTATGTATGGTACTTCTTTCGTGTAACATATAGTATGTGATAAATCGAATATTTTATCGTAAAGAACGAGTTAAGTGTTGCATAAGTATGGAAAATAAAGTACAGAGTGGAATAGGTTAACTGGCTCTAAAAGGAAAAAGGAACACTCAAGAAACGAGAAAAAAAACATGAGATATAATCATTGCATATGATTTTTGAATCAGAAGGTTTTATGTCTGTTACAGACTTCCAATGTTGACAGTTTGCTCTAAGCAGTGTACGGCAAGAAATGAAGGTTAAGTAAGAAACTAAAAAAAACATTTGGATATATGATACAATAAGATAATTTGAGAGATTTTCACATGATAAAGATAATCAACTATATACTTATATAGAAAATGAATTTTTACATTCAGATTCCTTCAATGACTAGCGCAACTCGGAGAATAACAGAATTTTTTCGTGTGGGAATTTAAATGACAGTGAGAATTTAATAGCATGCAAACATCTGGGCGCTCAATTAATGGTTTGCCAATATTGAAAAAAGTTAATAATCAAAATGTAAGGTTATTGGTTGTTAAAAGCACAGAAATTCGTTTACCTTAGTTAATTATGTATTATAAATATGGTTAGTTTGACTCCTTTCACTTTTTCTCATCCACAGACTCAACCCGTGAGTAGTTGCATACTCACTTGATGATATGTGTTAGTACAGGTTTATATGTATGTATATAGATTGAAAAAAGTTTCTTCTATGATGTCAGTCTGTTTCGGAAGCCTTGGAAGCTTGATAAGGTATTTGATTATATTTCAATTGTTCTGACTCTAAACTAGTCTGATGTAGTTGTCGTTACATCCGAAGTCATCTGGTCATCCGAAGAACAAGTCATGTTAAGTTTTGTTGATGCCCATCTTTCCAAATACCCGGATTTCTCTATCTTAACTTAAAAGATATATCTCACTGAGCCTATCTTGTACCTGAGGAGATTTTTTGTCTTCCATGTTTGTTGGTAGGAAGTCATCTTGATCCAGGGAAAAAGGACTGAAAACGAGGATTGAGAGTTTTAAAAAATAATATCAAAAAGAATCAACCACTCATGTTCTACGGAAGCTTAAAATGATTGTGCAACGTGTCACGTTCACGCCAAACTCATGATATGCTAATTAATCACCTCGATGCTGGATTGATTTCAGGTGAAGAGAACTCATTTATCCGCCGTTTTAAGCTCTTCTGATATTGATAACCAGCATTTTTTATTACCTGTAATATTAATTTGAACGTTTTAAAAAGAGAGTGTTTCACTTGTCTGGCTAGTGGGAACAACTCATCGCGCCTCGTCAATAGAGCCGGCATTAGAAGACAAAGTTGAGCAGCAGCTTCATTAACAGAAACTTCATGTATAGATAGAACCTTGAATAAGATAAGCCATAGTAGATATAACTTTGAAACTCTAATCAGTACTTTGTTTGGTTTTCGCTTAGCGTCAAAACGTCCATAAATAGCTGAATACTTTCGATATTCTTCTAATCGACCAGGAGTGTTAGCGGGCATAGCCATTAAGTCCAGAACTTCTCTTAAACAAGAGTTTTTGATTAAAATAAAAAACAATTATACCTTGAAATACGTTTTTTATTTTGTATAAGCTTAGGTTCAAATACAGGAAGACTATGAAAAACATTTTCTGCACATATTGTTATACGACGTATTTGAGCATCACTTAAGACAGGAATTTCAGCTGAAAGCGAAACGCCAACTATAAAATGTATCTATATTCAATGAAATTCATCAACATTTGATTAATTATGAAAAGTACATGGTTCGATGGGACTTTAGTGGAATGGCTTACATTGAGTATCAGATTCGTTTAAAGACAGGAAATCACCAGCTATTGAAACAGGACTGGTCGACCTATAAGAAAATTAGTACATATATGTATGAATAAACGCATAGTTCTTAACATGTGAAAATAAAACAAGAATACTTACCTCTCTTCCTCTTTAAAGGAGGCTGAGATGGAGCTTGGGAGATTTCTGAGACGTTCTCCGCAAAAAATGTTTGCTGTCCCTCCGATTGTGCCAGTAAGGGCCAAAGGGTTGAGCATAGAAGAGGAGACGCTGGTCGCTGCAAACAGGAAAAAGTAAGACTATTTTATAATATTACTTGATCTGTTATTTTTAAGATTCGAAAAGAATGTTAATATTTTTTCTACGTCGGATTTTTATCCCCATTACTTCCCCCAACTACCGCTTAAAAAGTTGGAAAGTACTTAACAAATGAAAGAAGAGTTTTGGCTGGCTATACCCCCAGGGTATTCCCGCAAAAAGACTAACCCAACGCTACCGAATTGTTCGCAACGTTTCCACTGATATTATTGTTATTATTGTTGGCTGTTGAGGTTGTAGCACTGGCTGAAGTGCTTGTTGTGAATGTTGTTGTCGATGGCTCAGAATTAGATAGCCCAGGTGAAGAAGAAGATGCTAAGCTGTTCAATGTAGCCGCAAATGCTGAAATTTGTATCCAAATGATGTTTCATGAAAATGATGAAAGAACTATACTTGGCATCAAATAAGATATGGCATCATTACTATTCATCAATGGAAACTGAGGAGGTGGTGGAGGTGGGCCTATGTGTTGAATTGATTGCATATTGAATGCGGCTTGATCTTTCGAAAATTCCTACAAAACTCTTCCCTTTACGCAAATTAAAAGAACAGAACATACACTAAGAGCTCTTTGAAGTCTTCGAACATGCAGAGGTTTGGAAAGCATTCCTACTAAAGACATAATCTCCAAGAACTCTTGTTCATCACATTGCATTATTTGGTTTATATCATCGCCTCCTTATATGAAACTTTTGTGAATAATATGATGCTCAAGCAAACCTTGCGTGATGAACGTGTCATAATACTGAACCAGATTCGCTCTCTGCAATACAGCCAATAACTGCCACTCTGAGAACGATGTTGGCTGTGCTGTGGGTTTCGGGGTTCTGAAGGTTGTTGTAGAGGTGAAGCATATTCCCGAAGCACTCACGAGGGCTGAACAATCGGATCACTTGTTTTTTGATCAGGTCTGATCGGTGTTAATGTGGGAGGAGTTGTTGGTAGAGCGGATGATCCTATAAACTCTGTACAATTTGAAAATTTGAAGAAATTCAAGTATTCGATTTACCGTTATTAGAATTAACGCTGGATGGACTAGGTGAACTTTCTAGAGAGGACATTATTTGAGATAAGAATGATTAAAGAGTATTTAGTATTAGATTTTATCAATGTCTTTCTATTCCTTTTAAGGATTTAGAGCTTTTTCTGGAATTTTGAATTCCTTGCAGCTTTTTATAAAGGGATGGCTATTTGATAGCCACCCACTGGCGTTTGCGCCTGCTGGAAAAATAATTATTCGATAAAATTATGTAAATAGAAAAAGGTAAGAAATAAGTTAAAAAAGTTAAAAAAAAAAAAAGAAATTCAAAGATAAAAGCTTTTTTTGAAATATGCGTTTCGTGAAAGAAATCAGAGTATGTGCAGACCAAGCTCGAAAAAAGCCGAAATGAGAAGAAGATCAGCAGGGAAGAAATTAAAGATAACAGTAAAGACAGAGGAGATGAAAACGACAAAAAAAGACATAGATAATGTAAAACAGAAAAACGGTAGTGGACGATTATCTTTTTTAGATTAGTTCTATTTGTCTATCGCTCACCAACATTTCCATAATGTCTCAGTCAAAGTCTGTCATTTATTTCTCTCATCTAAAGATTTTTGAAACAAAAAAAATCAAAAGCTTTCTATTGGCCGAATATCCTTACATAAAATCCTTCGATCTATACAAAACCGAGTTTTACAATGAAAGAATAAATAAGAATAGGAGTTTTTGCTTCACAATTGGTTCAGCCTTTGATTTTCCTTTGGTACAACCTTCACACTGGTCCAGAAAAAAAAACCACGAGCAACTGAGAAAAAAAGTTTATTTTGAGGTCAAGACATCTTTCTAACCGAATGTTCAATGAACGGCTTCACATAAATTCATTTTTTGTATCGTTCTTTCCACTTTAACCGTTCTCTTTCTAACATACAATCATGCTTTCGGTAGAGATAGTTCAACTCTAGTTCAGTTTCATTCTCATTATATCATTATGCAATACTTTATTGCATTATGTTACCTAATACTGCACTGTTTGAGGCACATAGAAACCGGAGTTCTTTCGTACCAGGCGCTCTGAACAAAAAACGGTGACCTATACTATTCAATTCGGTACTTCCCTCGTACACTCAATTTTTCGTTTTGGATTCTGTAATAAGTACTTTTTCGCTTTGGGTTTTGGAATCAAATAGATGATCTATCCGAAAAAACGAGTATCAACTAAATATTGTTCTTCTCTACTTATGTTGGTCAGAATGGGCAACATATTCAAACTATATGTTACATCTCACTCCACAGCGTAAGGAAAACAGTGAGCGTTAATCGAAATACAGATAGCTTAGAGTTTAGAGCTTTCTAATCAGATTTGTTCAGGAAAGTGATTGGAAACATGCGATGTCTATGGATATTATGAAAATTCGAAGATGACAACAGGACAGAATTTAAACATATGCTCAGAAGAGAGATCAGAATGAATGTTGGCTCAGCCTTTTAACGTTAAACCCAAATGCGTTGAAAAAAAGAAATATAGAGCAGATGATGAGAATTTACAGCCAGGTGACGAAGAATGCATTCGTCAACGATGGTGAAAAAAAAAACGAAAAGACCAGCGAACTCGTTCCGAAAGTTTGAAAAAAACTCACAATGAAAAAGACAACGGCAATAAGAGAGAGTGTTCATGATTGCAATAGAGAAGCGGAAAAAATTTGAAAAAAAACACCTCTATGTCGTCCGATTCCGGTGATTGAAAAAGAAGAAGACGTTGTTGGTGAGTAGAAAAAGAAGAAATAAAAGAACAGAGCGAGGAATTTGGAAGATATGACGCTAACGATTGAGAAAAGCCGAAAACAATAGTGAATTGTGAATAAAGAAAGCGGTCAATTAATTTTTTCCCTGGGAGAGATTCCTTTTTTTTTAACATTTTTGCAGCTCACTGGTTACATTACATCTTACATCTTCGCTCTTCTTTCACTTTTTTATAAGTTTTCATCATTCAAACTGTGTGTCTGTACCAGTAGCATTTATTGTTCAATTATATGAAGAAAATTTCTATCGAAACTCATCTGAGTTTGAAGTGTTTCATTCTTTCGTTTCGGAAACCGTGATGTTCATTATCATTATGGCATGGAGAGAAGAAATAGTTAGTGAATTAATGAAATCATTTTCTTTTTTTCAGATTCAAAAGAGAACGTTGAGACGTGAAAAATGGGTTGTGAGATTGAATAAACAGTAGCTGAACCAAAATGAGAAGAACATCATACAAACTCAAAACTACAATGCTTAGCCTCGAATTATTGGTTACTATTAGTATACCCCAACGAGTTGAAAAAACGGAGAATAAAATGTGAAGAAGTAAAAGAATAAACGAGAAAGATGACGAAGAGGGCCGATCGGAGTAAAAAAAAGTCGCTGTGACAGGATAAAAACAGAGAGAAAAGAGAAAAGAGCGACGACGAAAAATTGATGGAGAAAGCACGTTAGCCTACAGAAGCACTGATGCACATTTATAAAATTTATTTAATGTAAAATCTTATTTAACTTCTCTAGAGCTGTTCATATACTGTAGCTTAGCACAGGTGATGGTAAATTCACGTTAACCCTAAGTCACGTAACTCACGTAACTCACGTAGCAAAGTTGATTTCTTCATTTTGCTTTGCGTATCTCGTTGAACGGTTGCATGATACTGATGAGAGACAAAATCCTGATAAGATTGTTCGAGTTTGCGAAGTTAAAAAAAACGTATAATATTCAGCTATTTTAACATATAAGAAGAATTTTAATGAAAATTCATGATAATCTAAGAAAGCGGTCTGAACAAAATGTTGAGAGCAAGGAGAGAACTTCAATAAAGAGGGGAGGAAGGAAAAGCAAAAGATAGAAAGACAAAAAATAGCTGAGAAGAAAAAAGAATGAACAAACTATTCAAGATTGAGATATATAGAAGGAGAAAGAGGGAATGTGAAGCATGAAGAGAGTGGGAGAGAGAGCGAGATAAAGAGAGAAAGCGAAAGAGAGAGAAATGAAGGGAGAGAAAGAATGAGAGTCAGATAAGAGGGCAATGAATGAAGAAATAAAGAGGGCAAGAAGTGAATGAGAGAAACTGATTGAAGAAAAAGCTTATTGCTGAGTGAAAAAAAAGACATTAGAGAATCGCAATCAAAGAAGAGCAAGTATTAGAGGAATGAAAGAAATTTTCTAGTTTGTAGTAGTTATGCCTAATAGGTTACTTCTTCAAGTTCGATGGATAACCCAATGAATGAAACGGAAGTGAATTATCTAAACTAGGATGCACTACTTGTTTCAATCATAATGATATGGTAGTCGAATTGTTTTTTTTTTAAGATTTTCTGTTCTTTCTAGGTGGTGCTATACGAAAATGGTAAAAGTAAATTCATCTGAGGTGAGATTTCTGAGAGGGCAGAGAAGAGATAGTTATAAAGAAGTATGGTCATTGTGTAGATGACTGACTATCTGTCCATAGAAAAACTGCCAATCGAGTAAAAAAAAGTCTCTCTGAATCCAGTTTACAATCTGTAAAATCGGCCGGGCCACTCAGGAAAAAAACGATAAGGCTGGACGATAGAATGGCGACGGGAAAATGAATAAAGCAAAATTCGGATTGTACAAGGAAAACATGAGAATATACCAACGATTTGTTAAACCGTTATTTACAAACTATGTAAAGTTTCATGAAATAACCAAACAACTTCAGCACAGAAGGTTGAAATATTAGTCTGGGTTTCGAAAATGCAAGAAAAGGTCTGATGTTGGTTGGCGGTGTTGGTGGAGAAGGCAAAAACGGACTGCGAATGACGCTCGCAATAGAAAAAAAAACGCTCGCTCGAGAAAAAAACCAACCAAACGACGCTGTTCGTTGAACATGAAAAAAAAGGTTCGAAGCTTGGTCTATAGAAGAGAGAATGAAAAAAATGATGGGAGAGTGAGAAATGACGAAACAACGTATTATGATGAGAGAGCCAGGGGAGTTGAGGTGTCCTCAGATGAAAAGGACTTCAAATGAGGCAGTGAAAAGAGAGACGATAGGAAGATGGAAGATTCGAAAAGAGAGGAACAGAAATTATTTTTTCCAAACTATAAAAATATTACAATGAAAAGTAAGAAAGGATAATATACCCTATTTGAAAATATATACATATATACATATATGTATATATAATTGCCGGGATAAGTTGATTTGTGTAACCCTCATACTGGAATGTTCAAAGAAGGATACGCTTTTTTCCGATCTCCTCGCCTATAATTTGGATGACATTCAACATATCGTCGGAATGACATGTTGAAATAAAGTAGAAAAAGTCTAATACTTCAACTTCAGTCAGAAATATCATCATTATTATTCATTTGTTGGTAATGATAAGCATATTATCTTTTTGTGAGGTTTGGAAGTGCATCTGAATAAGAAACCCTCTATAAACATGATGAATACTGAATCGTATCTACTTATGTTGATGTATGATTCCCGATAGTCATGATAAACTTCTTTGGAGGTTATAATCAAACCCATATCTTGAGCCTTTTGTGTTTTCCTGTAATTTTTCTCTCGCTGAATTTTATGTAAAAACTAATGATGGAGCGAATTCATTTGCTTCGAGTCACTATATATGCAGAAAGCCCTCGAAATGATCTTGCATATTTGAAAGATCGCTCAGCCACTGTTAAAAATAGAATGAGACGAAAGTTAGAAGAAGTGCGAGGAGATGTGGACGAGTGAAGTAAGACGGAAAATAAGAACTTCTTAGTCTAGTTGATATCATATCTAACAAACTCAACAACTGGCAATCGTACTTCTCAAAATAATTTTTGTCCTCATGTTTCAACACCTCTTTTCCTCCTTCAGCCAAAAATCTTATACGTTCTCTCGCATTGTGAGCGGCTAGAAATCACCAAGTTGAATTTTCATTCCATATTCTTTTTTTTTGAAAATTTCAACTTTGATGCTTGCTTGAGCGAGAGTTTGAAGTCTTAACCACAAACTTGGAAAAAAAATGTGTGCAGTATGCCCTTCTCTCCTTATTCTTCCCCTTGTTCAAATGTCTTTTTCCCTTCGATTGTTGTCTAGTTGTCCTTCTTTTAAAAGAGAATATGCTTTATTGCAAAGAAAATGAGCAAATAGTAAAAACCTGGGAAGATATACACTTGGCTTTAAGCTTATTGTTTTTTTCTCTACGTTTATTGTGAGGCTCGAATAGAAAATTAAATTTGGTTTACTTTTTGACTTTGTCAAGAATATATCTTGTTATCATCGCTTCTTCACATCAAAAATCATCGAGCGCAGAGCTTTGTTTCGCAGTCTCACTCAACCCTTTCAATGTTTTTTCTTCATGAAATTGTCCTCAACTTATAACTAGCTCTTTCTTTCTCAGACATAATTATTCAGCTGCATCTTTTTTCATTGGTTTCTCCTCTTATCAATATCTTCCTGTTAGTATTCTATACAGAAAATCTGGTTATCATAGAAATCATGCAAGATGATTTTTATACATTCTCAAAGATAAACTACTTTTTTTTCTCCTCACTCTTGAATAAGTTTCTTCATTACAGATATTTAGGGTTAAAAACTAACATGTCAATTCTTAGTCTTCACAACTTACCCCATCATTCTTCTTGTCGGTTTTTTCGAAAAAAATTTCTTCATTTCTTTGCCCTCTCTCTTTCCATTTGCTTTTTCCTCATGAATTTCATTCTATGATGTGTCTTTTCTCATATTTTCTAGCTGTTCTTTCTGAACTATCAAGGCAAACGAATATGATTTCTCTCAAAACAGATTCTTGTCTGCTTCATGATATGTAATGTGATTATGTAATTCTGGCTCAAGAATCAAATTCTGCAACTTCCTTCCGCAAAAAAGACGCCTAGGAAAAGATCATCGCTCGTTTTCTATTACTATACTGAATAATTTTAAAACTCTCTGTAACACTTCCATCCCGATAACTTTGCTCACTCATCATTACCTTGTTTGGAATGTTTTTCCGTCTCACTTGATGAGTAAAAATCCGATCTTCTCATTCGTGGATCCAGTAAATCCGAATTCAATATTTATAACTTTGGATTTCCTCAAAGTGTCGACATATATCTAGTTTTTTTTGATATCAATTGTTTTGATTTGGGAAATGATGTTTCCTTCTTATAATCAATATTATTTTCTCGACTTATTACATTTATTGATTTTAAGTATTATTTCACGTCATAATCACGAGACTTTTTCTTATTCTTGGCCAAGTAGAATTTTCCGTTTCTGGGAATACCTCTTGAAGAAGCTTGGGGTTGCTCAGAATAGCATATACATCAACAAAATAATAGAGTGATTCTCGTGAAGGAACAGAAAATTTTTCTTCGTAGGATTCGAGTTACTATTGGCTCAATCAAAACTCTCCTCATCACTTGAGATGACTTGGAACAGTTGGGTTGAAGCTCTAGCAGACGAACAGAGTCAACCTTTATAGAAGAGACAATATCGAATGATTTCCTGACATTTTTCGAGCAAGAAAGACATTGAAATATATAAATATCTTGTTTGCATATAGCTTTCATAAAAATAAGAGCAAAAAAAGGGTCTCTTACAAACAAACTGGCCGAAATCCTCTCACTTTCTCCCTTGTTTCCAGACGAAAATGAAAACATTTCAAATTACAAAAACAGTCAGAGGAAATGTTTTCTATTTTAACAGATGTGCGAGTGGTATATGTCTAGCACATTATATGATTTGCTAGATTTTCGGAAAGATAAGGCGTTTTCATGATCAATGCTGAGAGAAGTTTTGGATTTTTCGATTAAACCTTACTCGACCTAATCATACAGTCTTGCAATAAATTATTCACTGGAGAAAGCATACAGATGATGATTTTTTTCTTTCTGGGCTTTTTTCGCTCTTTTGAGATACAAATATCTGTATTGAAACCCAAGATGTTCTTCCCTCACCACCATCTTACATCTCGCACCTTCAGACTATGGAATCTAAAAAAAATGATTAATAAAATTTAAAAAAAAAATATAACGGCCAAAATTTGATCAATCGACCTTGAACCTTCATTGTATCCTCAGCAACTTTTTTTTCTGGTCTCCGTTCTCAACAAGTCTCAACAAATGATATTCATTATCGACCTCATGCCTTCCCTCCCTCCTATTTAAAGGGCGGAGCTCTGTAGAATTGGTCTTGCCACGCAAGCTCGGTGCTTTTGCCAGCGCCCAAGGAGCAAATCCATTTCTCCAGCCCACATGACTACATCCTTACAGCATTGTAATCATCCTTGCAAGCACTTGTAGAGGTTTTTTCAAAGCTTATATTGAATGAAACTAGAGGACACTCATTCCGTTCTCTTCTGTTTAATTACAATTCGATTCATCATCAAACAATTGTTTAATCCGCTTATAAACAGATAAGGTTAGTGACAGAACTGTTGGGTTAACAGGGCAGAAAGCTACTGACAGATCAAGTTCTGCTGAGAGAAGTTTGTATTTTTCCTTTTCGAGCTGTAAGTTGAGGTTTTCTCTTAATGTTAGTTTTTTACGTCATGATATATTTACGTTTTCACTGTTTTCATGATCTCTGGAATAAGCATTTTCAGCTAAAAGTTTTATTCTGTAATCTCGGTTTCAACTTCTTTTGTACTATCTTATTTAATCGTTCTCATGAAAAAAGCCTAATCTGATCTTTTAGCCATGGACGCACATCATCCTCTCATTCCTCTTTTATATCAAGCTCTTTAAGAACTCTTTATGCCGAAATCATCCTATGTTTTGGCACAGAAAAAAATGAAAATATAGTTGTACTATTTGAAAATCGTTCTTCTCGTTTCTCCAATGATAACAGCAGCAAATAACTATATGAACAGCTGTTAAGCTTTTGTTGCAGAGTAAGAAAAACAAGTGAAATACATTAATAAGCATGATAACTTCTTTTAAAAAACGTAGGCGAAACTGCCAAAAACTACTTATGTTTATGTGTGAGCGCAATGCTGCCGGAAGTATGAGTGACTTTATCGCCAATGTTTTCTTGATTGTTATGGTACTAATTTGTTTTGACAGTAACTTGAAGTCAATTTGTGTATTGTCTTTTTCCTTATCGCAAAACAGTTTTATATTCAAGCACTTGCCTCTTTTCGTCTCTAAAAGTTCTGAGAAGCTAATGAGTTTTGAGTAAACATTCCAGTTCTAAAGGCTTTGAACTCGAGTTAAAGTCTTATCTTGTCAAGCTTTTCGACTTTATTACCAATTCTCCTTCGCTCTTCGTTCTCATTGCCTGTGCCGTTAACATTGTATTCTATCAATTCAACTTGGAAAAACACAATGAATCGAAGTTTTTCAGGTGCTAGCTTCGACATGATCCTTATTCTCACTGTCTAACGTTACGAGGTTGATGATATTTCAACGGAAATCATCTATACTCTGCCTTACTTCAAGGATCTTGCCTTTTCCATCACTCCTTATTAACTAACTCTAAGAACTTGCAAAAGTCTAAAACCATCGAGGCCGGATTTTAACACCTGCTCGGTGAGTGATAGGGAGTTATGTTTCTAAAGAAAATCAGAATAATGTTTTAAAATATGATTCTTCTTTCAGGATTGTTATCAGCCCATGAATCTATTCGTCTGAGAAGAGGTTAGTCATATAGCCATCATTCATCTATCGAATAACTTTGATTATATTTAAACATGTTTATGCCCAGTTCATCGAGCTCTTTCCAACTTTTGCTTCTTTTGATTGTTGTTCTCTTGTAGGAAAAAACATGATTGCCAGGCGGAACTTCATTGGTACACCCTAGGTCCTTCTTCTTTGTCAGTAATGGTGTTTAATTTAATGTCGTCTCATTTTAATTGAGAAACGGACCTCAAAACACTGCTTGTAGTAATCTTTTCATACTATTGAACACTTTGGAGAAGCTTTAGTATGCATATGAGGAAGAAACGCAATATAGTTCAAGAATGCTGTAGCGTTTCGAAGTATTGTTCGCTCATTCATATCATTTCGCTTAGCTTGATTCACATTCTGATTCACTGAAACAATCTATTCTTTATATTTCCAATTAAGGGATGATCACGGCCTGCACAATGAATGACGATCTAGAAAAAAAATGTCTTTTGACTCCTGGAGTAAACTCTAGCTCAAACGGAGACTTCTCTTACAATCAGGTGTGTTGGGGTTTTTGGCTTTTTGGTCGAACAAGAATTTCCCTAACATCAACCATCTGTTAAATATGACCGTCGTAAGAGAGATTCCGAATCGAATATACATCGTTTCTCATTGTTGCATATGATATGACTCCTTTCTTGCTTCTTCTGCTATCTGTGTTAAACCCATGTATATTTCAGTCACATGCACCTGAAGCAGATATGGCTCAATCTCCTGAACCCTGTGATACGCCTCGTTCACCTTCTCCTTTGGCATTCGCAGATTGTCCTCTTATTTACAGGTTCCCATTTTATCTTATTTTCGTTATTGTTTCTCCTGTTTCAGTGAACCGGCTCTAGTCGGTCCTCATCAGCCAACTCCTGTGAGCTTGGGCCCATTATTTGCAATCAGTGATACGGCTTTGCCGAAGGTACTTTCGGCGTTGTTGGAACTCTTCAATTATATTTTTTTAGATGGTAGGTAACCCAAAGAGAGATAGTGGGATTGCTTCAAGCAATAATGTGAACGAAAATGATGATGAGAAAGCAGATGGCACAACAACACCTAAGAGCAATTCTATGTACATGTCTGATATGTCGTTTTGCACTGTTGTTAATGGGTATGTTATTGACGAAAGTCCTCTGAATAGATTTCTTTTAGTCGCACTGGACACAAAGCATCTTTCTCAACACGGGAAATTCGTGAACAACATGCAAGAATGCAGCAAAAATATAAGGAGGATTCGAAAAAGGAGAAGTTTTTCACTGACCCTGTTGATTTCGAAGGTAGGCTTGGATATGATAGCTTTGAAAGTTCAGTTTCTAGGTATTTTGAATATAATTGGTGGTTGCTCCTGGTGGCAAATATGGATTTATGTTCTGATTGCCATGCAACAAATTCCTCATGCCATGTTCAATCTGAATGTGGTTTATATGATGTATGATCCTGATCACCACTGCGAAGTAAAAAAAATGTTCATTTTTATTCACAATGAAACATGTTCTAGGTTCCCGGATTTGGATTGAATGATACTTCTCCAGATTACAAATGGGGGCTGGAAGATGTCCAGGATAGTCATATGGTTTTTCCTAGTATGACTCTGGACAAATATGAGCGAGATTCGGTAAGTTCTTTTGTTATGCATTTTGATTTTTCATTCTTCTCTACAGTGTCATTATTATGCTCGATCAGCGGAACGATACAAAGAGTTGCGAAAGCTGCCTCTCGAAGAAGCTAAGCTAGCTGCTTCACGCGATAATGTTTCTAGAGCTTCATGCGAAAGATATACCTATAAATCTGATGTAAGTATCACATTACATGTACTAATTATCAGCTCAATGTAGGTAATGCGAGAAACCATCGTAACTGATTGGAATTTGGTTTGCAACGATTACTTGAAGAAAGGACATGCTCACCTTTTCTATTCGTTTGGATATTTGGTCGGATGCGTTCTCGGTGGACTTGCCAGCGATAAGTAAGGTTATCCCAGAACTTCTCATTCATTTGCCTTATATAGTTTTGGACGAAAGCCTACGGTGATTGGTTTCGGGATACTCTCTTCTATGTTCGGTGTCTTCCTACCGTTCACTACATACTATCCGATGTTCCTGTTTATCCGTCTATGTAGTGCGATCTGTAATGAAGCTGCCGATTTAGCTGCTTATACATTGTGCATGGAGATTACAGGTTGTTAGCTCATTGAAAATATTGTAAAAATGTTTTTGTTAAGGAACACGCTATAGATCAATGGTTGGAAGCATGTTGCAAGTTCCATGGGCACTAGGATATGCTTTATTAGCCTTGATTGCCTATATATCTAAGAGCTGGAAAACAGTTCAGGTACGATTTCGAAAGCAACATTGGGTAACAACCGTTCACAACTCTGGGATTCGAATAAATAAAACTCGAGTTCAAACAATTCGATATGATTCTTAATGACGTGTTTCAAGGTAATTGCTGCTGGACTTCATTTTGTAGCAGTTGTTCTCATATGCTCCCTTCCTGAAAGTCCCCGTTGGCTCATGGTGAAGGAACGAGTAGATGAGGCAGAAGAAGTAATTCGTAAAGCCTGTCGGTAAGATTTTGATGTTGAGAATGTTAAGTAAAAGATTGTTCAGTACACCTCCTTTCCCATTCAACATGTGCAGAATTAACCGAGGTTCTCTGCCTTCAGACTTGGAGTTAGTGTGTCATAGGGAAAAACGACTAGATCCTAATGTATACTCTCACTTTTCAAACTCAATTATACTAGACTTAATATAGGGAAAAGTTGGAATGTCTGATCTCTTTAAAACTCCTGAACTGCGTTATCGTACTATTATTGTGTGCATTGTATTCATAGCCAACGCTTTGGTTTATTATGGCTTAGTTATTGGTTCGTTATCCAACAATTTTTTTTTCCAAATTTTTTTTTCAGCTCTTTCTGATCAGTCAGCCCCCGGTCGAGTTTTGTTCACTGGTAACTTTTTCTTGAATAATGCCATTGCTGGTTTTATTGAAATTCCTACCTTGTTTGCATGCGTATGGCTGATGAAGTTTGGCCGGAAACGGTTTGAAAAAAATTTTATCACGTAATACCTATTAAAATTCATTCAGAGCCCAGCAGATGACACTTGTCGGTGGAGGGTTGGCGATCATTGTAGCTATGCTCGCAGTGGTTTCGCATAATTATATGGTTGCGCTATTCTTCATGCTATTAGGAAAGATATTTATTCAGGTTTCAAAATTGAGAGATTCTTTTCAAAACAAATTAACTTTCTAGGGTGCTTTCAACATTCTTTATATATTTACATCAGAATTGTATCCTACAATCATAAGAAATTCTGCTGTCGGTATGACAAGCATGGTTTGTTGAATTTTCTTTCATTCTTATTTTTTTTCCACTCTAGGTTGCTCGTTTTGGTTCTGGAATTTCTTCCTATATCGCTCTTCTATCCAATATCTCATTGCCCATCGTGCCAATGATCATATTCGCAATATTCTCACTCTTCGCTGGAATGTTAGTTTCGGTTCTTCCGGAAACAAGTGAAAAGCCTCTGCCGGAAACATTGGATGTAATGTTTGAAGTATACTACAAAAAAACATCTTTTTCTTGCAGGACGCTGTGAATTTCCTCCAGGCTGAGCATAGGTCATGCTATGGTTGGGGCATTCGTAAGCAATCAGAGAGCATATCCATTGCGGGAAACACTAATGACGCTGTTACTGACTCACCAAAGCAAAGCAATGGAAGCAGGCAGGCTAAGAGATATACAGTGTTTCAATATCAAATTATTCTAGATCATCAAGCTTAATTCCTAACAGCTTAAAACAAATTCCTCGAAACGTTCCTCCTAGTCGGACAGATAGCAGATGCGAATCAATTTTTCAAGATCTTGCTGATCTCTCTATACCTGAACGTTTGCCGGAAGCATTCGCCGAAGATTCATAAATGAATCTGATATATATCGATGTAATCGATTTTGAATTTTTAAAACTAAACTTGACTTTATTACTCGCCTAATTCTTTTTAACTCATTTATTTTATTTTGAGGTGTCAGTCTAACCACTCTTGTTGTATATTTCGGATACTATTTTGTGTTCCTACATACTTTTGTTTCTGTCTCATATCTCTCGGTACTCTTTTTTCCTCGGGTATGTATTCTTGTGATTCTTAAACACTTTACCTCCCTTGTGCATCAGTCTAGTCCTCCCGTTTGTTTCTTGTTTGGTTCATGGCTAGGATGTGCATTTTACATCGTGTACAATTTATACATTGTCCTCTGGCTTTGTGATCTTTTGTTGCGTTTGTTCTTCTGTTTCTAGGTCTGGTACCTTCAGCAAAATGCACAACTTTCATTGATTTCCTATATCTTTAATTTGGAGATTCGACACCTCATCTGCATGTGTTATTATATTTTACTGGTGCTTCTGTGTAGAATAATGTTTAATTTTATGGATCGCTTTTGAGTTTTACTGGATCCTTTATTATTCCTCCAAAAATATTTCAATTATGTTGAATCAGAACAAAAATATTATATTACAGACATGATTAAAGCGTTAGGTCTGAAATGTTATATGTTATTTGAGAATGTTCAGGCGTTCCCGGGGGAGTGTTTATCTACGAGATTGATTTGTAGTTTTGCTGTGTCAATCATTACTTGATCATGATTTCCTTTTCTCTGAATTTTATATATTTATATATTTCGGAAGAAAAGAATAGAAATCTTACGACAAACTCTTGATCTGCTCCCACTATCTCTGATGCTAGCTGACCGCAACCGTTCTTATGCCCAACCTTGTCATCTTGCGGGGAGTATATTGAGTATACACGTCTTCCTTCGTAGTGATGTCTGAGTATATATTATGTTTCTACATGTATCATCTGCGAAAACCAACTGTTTATTTATGTCGATCAGGAATTTAGATCCACACGATAAACCGGTGATAAGATTACAAGCCCCTGGGAATGGAAGAAGGCATAAATAAGATCCTCTATTAGCGCCTTAATTTGTTCTCCTTGTTTTTCATTCTGAGAAATGTAGTAAAACCTGCTACTGAAACAAATGTATCAACTATGCCTGTTAGTGGCGGTCCTAAACTTTCTCCTGTGTCGACACAGTTCCCACCTAAGATTGCCTGGAATTATGAAACATTAACCTTTTAAAAATGGTATAATTTTAAGAATGCAACCACTTCACATTTTCAAGTTAGTTTATCTGGTTAGTTTACATTTCATTCACGTCACGTGGATTTCATTCAAGCAATTCACGTTTCTCACGTCGTTATAATTCAATACATCATCTCGTTCAGCTTCTTTTTCACAATTCTTTTCATTTCCATCGCACTGTAAAGAATTCTATTGTACAAAACCTTTCTTGATACAGGTGAGCCCATCGAGTATCCAATGACGTCTACTTGTCGTCTTGTATATGCAGCTACCGACTGTATCATATACCGAACCTATTTCATGAGAAGCTCCATCCCCCATTACAAGTTGAAATACCTGTTTCACATAAGCACATTTCATATCGAAAAGAGGTGCTGGAGTTTTTCCACCGTCACCATATGTTGTACCGAACACGTGTGCATCTTTCCAACCTACACTCAAAAAATGACGTCTCCAACCATCGAAAGTCCCTGCGGTGTTTGCTATACCGTGAACAAGTATTACGGCTTGTTTTCTAGAAAAGAAAATCTTTATCAATCAGTTCATTTTCGTGTCATTCAAGAACACGTAACAAATTATGAGAATTAATGACTGTTTGTGTTTCAGTACCCGGATCTTGTTCCTCCTTTATGATTCCCTCCACCATAGCTTCCATGTGAACCAATATCTCTTCTAGCCAAACGGTCTGCTATTTGCTAAAAAAAGCCCAATAAACACATTCATTTTTCAAATGAAATACCTTTCCATAATTTTCAATAACGAACTGATTGAAACTAGAAGAGAAATCAGTTACAACAAGAGATATTTGAAGAACAATAACGAAATTTCGAAGAAACATGCTTCAAAGAAAAAAATTCACAGACACCGTTTCTGAAAATAATCTGACTAAAGTTAGAATATAGTAATATGATAAGTAGTTATAATTTTCATGGTAGTTCTGTAGTAATCATGAGTAATTAGATAAAAACTTTCATAGCTTTAGTTTTTAACTTATATGTTACTGGGAACAACACTTGTATAACACCAGTTTCCAGTTCGGCATCACCAGTGAAGACTGGCAAATAGTGGCGCCCCTTATAGGGAGGGGGAATTGTTTTGACAAAGATCTGTTGTAACATAAGTTTAAGCTAAGACGATGATGGTAACACGTCATTCAATGTAATTTTCAGCTAAAATACATTAAACAAACCGAAGCTATAGTTTCTACATAGTGGAACTTCATGAACAGATTGTTCAAGGAGCATTCTACTGTTTTCACTTAAGAAAATCTTATGAGCAATAGTCTATGCACAACAACCTTTCTATTCTTTTGATCGCACTGTGCACATCATCCGATGTCGGTTCAATAACCTTTGCAAAAAAATCTCAATCTTTGAATTAAACTTCTGAAACAGAAAAGAAAATAAAGATGGTAGCTACGGACGAGTGATCAACGAACAGCTTCATTAGTGCGACGATTCAGACGATGATAACATGCGGAATCAGATCGTTTACATTAGCCACCTCGTAAATGTTTATAACCACCATTTTTTTCTAGAATTTGACACGTTCACGCTTGACTAACATGACGGAACAGTTGTCGTCATAAATGGTATTGTCGGAAAAAAAAGCCGGTGTGAGTGTCAATTAATGCTATTAAAGCCATACAGTTCGTAGTAGAGAATTGTGTTGAAGACCGGAAGCCATTAAAGCATTCAGCCGCAATCAACCAGTCTACTTCGGATCATATATAAAGAATATTCAGAGTGATTCCGTTATTCCGATTGTCGTTATTTAATATCTCACTTTTTCATGTTTTTCAGTTTCAACTGAGCGAAATGCTTACGTGAAGTGTCCAGTCAATCTTTTCTTTTCTCAATCTTCTCTGAAAATTCGTCTAGCTTACGTTAGTTTCATGTCATGCAAGTGTTGCGTATCAAGAAATTCATTTCCATCTCACATCTCTTAATTGTTCAAAATAAGATGCAAAATTTGAAAAAGAAAGCTGAGAAAAAGAAGAAGAAGATAACCCTGAACTACCAGTGTGTGGTCGAGATCTCTCTAAATCAACATGTAAAGTTAGAGAAGAAGAAACCTCTTTTCTCCAATATCTTCTTTTTCTTTATCCCAATTAACATTTGTTTTTTTCTCTCTCCTGAAAATATACTCTAAGAACAAGAGAAATAGATGATTCAAGATAAAGATTATATTATTCCATCGAAGTTATGATAGTTATCTTGTACGCTGCGTACATCAATAGTTAAATTGTTGAGAGATGGAGAGAATGTAAACGAGAAGCAAAAAAAAGAGGAGGGACAAAAACCTCAAAACGATCTCAAAAATCAGAAGTCTTCGTGGCGTCAACCAGTGATGTCAAGCAGACAGTGCGCGCTACCAATCTGTTGATTCTGAAAATCTGATCTTAGTCAAAACTTTTGTGTTACAAGCTAGCCTTCCCTCAGCTGCTCTCTCATCTTCTCAAATTCTCTGAATAAGTTTTTAGTTTGAAAAATGTCCGTCTGTCGTAGTTTTTAATCTAACCCAAATACTTTACTGCTGAGCTCATGTTTTCAGCTTCGGGTACATAAAGATATCTTACCAAATTAACTACATTCAGCAATTTTCCTTCACAGCTTGTCAATGTCGTATATGTTCGCATGTGTCTGTTAACTTCAAATACCATCTGAGTTCATCTTTCTCCTTTTTTTACACTTTCTAGCATGTTGGCCCATTATCTAAAATAGAAGCTTCCTCAATAAAAGGCAAGCGTTTGTTCACATGATACATTGTTGTGCATAAACTTGGTTATAAAATGATAATATATTAACTTCAAATCCTATCTGAGTTCATTTTTTTCATGTTCCTCCTTGACATCCTAAGCTCAACTTAAAAAATTCAAAATATGTTTAAACAGCTATTTTTCGTCTGTAGTCAGAAAGTGTTGAATTGAGTTAAGAGTATATATTTTTTTCCAGTTTTTTAACCTCAGATCAAAACTATCCAATCCAATCATGCGTGATGTACTCGTCTCTCAACCAATCACCATTAATCATCAGGAAGAGAAGTTATTTTAAAAAATTAGCCTGTCACTCTCAATTTTTTCAGGAATATGTTGAATAATGAAGACTATCTGCTTTCTTCAATATTCAATCATCCAAATATTCGGATCAAAGTATAGTCTATAAACGTGCATATCTTGAAATCCTAATTTTATTTCCAGAATAAAGTTGCAGTAGAAGAGAAACTTTTGCAAATGATGAGAGATGGGCAAGATAAACTTATGGTACGTATCTTTTGTCATTGTCAGTGAAAACACTCGTTCTATTTCGTAATATTGTAGTTTTGTTTGTTCTTTTTCAAGCATTTACAATAGCACTTCTAACTATTTCCATCGTGACGTCAACGATTTTTTTCCGAAATCCTCGAGATATTTTTAGATTTACAGATGAATTTTTTATAGGTTATCACTGATTTCGATTTCACTCTGACGAAATTCGATTCAGCATCAGGCGAAAGATTTTGGAGCAGCCCCGGAATTTTTGACCGCTTGGCTTCTGAAATTCGTCCATCTCTGGTGGAGAAAGTATTCTATACTGTTCGATCTTCGTTCACTTATTATCTTTCAGTTCAAACAGTTATGTAAGAAATATATTCCAATTGAGTTTGACCCTAAGCTTTCGATGGAAGAAAAAATTCCACATATGGAGAGTTTGTTAGTGTGTTTTACACATCATAAACTGATAAAACGAATTTAACAGCTGGAAAGAGTCTCATAGACTGACGGTCAGCGCTGGTTTCGAAAAGAATGTCATTGAAGAGTTCGTCAGAAGATCGAAAATAGCCTTACGGTATGATGAACACGAGCTAAGATGCAAAAAAAATCCAACATTTATAGCGATGGAACTACTCAACTGATGGAAAATTTGAGTTCGAACGATATCCCAATGGTTATTTTCTCAGCAGGGGTACGTTCAACGGAAAGATGTAAAGTTGATATATTGTATTAAGGTTGGTGATGTTATTGATGTCTTCCTCAGGAAAGAAATGAACAAAAGGGACCTGCCAGAAAACATGCACATAATCTCTAATATGATGGAGTTCGATAATGAAGTAAGAAGGTTCCGCTAAAAAATACAAACCAATCGAAGCGAGAATAACTCTTGCAATTAACTACTTGTTCGAATGACCATGTTAATCTGATCATATCAATGTAAATGCAAAGTTCACTGAAAAATTCAACAATTGATAACATCAGTAAGTTCAGAAGAGATATTTCAAGGAAACAAAATGCGGAAACAATGAAATTAGGAGTCAAGTCAAATGTTGACAAGTAAGATATCTTCTTTAAGGGAATCGTTACTGGATTCAGTGAACCTTTGATCCACACCTTTTGCAAGAATTCATCTGTTATTCAAAAAGAAGCTGCATTCTTTCATCAAATTGCTGAAAGGTTTTAGATATTCAGTTAAAAAAATGATATCAATTAATTTGAGAACAAACGTAATTCTGTTGGGGGATAGCCTTGGCGACATACATATGGATGTTGGTGTTGAAAAAGAACAAATTCCATTGAAAATAGGATTTCTGAACTATAAGGTTTGCTGAACATATAATTCATAATTTGAGCAAGAAGCAGCGCAATCAGATAAAAGAATAATATATGAAGAGTATCTGTATGGGTTCTGAGTGTTTTGAAAATTTAAAATTAAAAGCAACCGATCTGCACGTCCACAAGTTAAGAAATGGAACAAATGTAGTCGGCATTTTGAGATATGCTAATTACACGGCTATCACGCAATGATATACTATTGCAGAAGCCTAGAAAATTTCTATTGAAACCTTCTCAATTCTATTGCAGGTCGATGAACTCATTGATACGTTCACTGATATTTACGATATAGTATTAATAAGAGACCGATCGATGACAGTGCCCTCAGCAATCCTCAGGTCGATCCAAGAACATGAAATTATTGTTTAAACTTCAAAAGATTGAGGAAAACAATATCATCTTTATAGGATAATTAATTGCTTCAACGCTTTAATTGAACTACAACTTTTACCTCGTTATAATTACTAAACTTCAATAAAACGATGATACTATCAGAAACAAACCAATGTTGATAATGGTTAATTGCGATTCCGCCATTTCAAAAATTCCAATTTTTTCTCTTTTCTTCTAATCTCTTTCTATGTCTATTCATTTCTAATTGTATCTTGTCAAATTCACTGATCATCGAGAAAATTCGCATCATAAACAATAGTGTTTGTTATCAAATAATTGATAAGATTGTTTTGTTATTACAACATCAAAACTGTATACAATAAAACTTATCACGGAAAAGTTAAAACAACCATTAACTATTAAAAAAATGACGACATAATCTGTTTCTCGAACTTCCTCCACAAACAAAGAGCATACATACACAGGGCCGTTTCATCGATTGGTATAGGTCACTGGTGCCAACTCTTATCAATTGCGAAAGATTGTTACCAAGAATCTTGAAAATAGGAATTGTGGTCATTACTCTCGCTGACTGGTTTATATGTTCACAAGATCACTCCACATTTTCTTCTACTATATAACTTTAACTTATATATTGCCACATATGATGAAACAGAATGTTCTCAATTTTTATGTTCATGTTCTCTTCATAGCATTCACTTTCTCTAACAATCAGACCGCGTTTGTTCTTCCTGCTCAAATACTTGTTGGTTATTTTCCAACATAGAAAAATACTGATTTTTCTAATCTAATAATACCATGCAAAAACCGTCTGATCTACTGCATGTACTTTGGTTTTTAAAATTTAGTTGGAGGAGGCGGGCGAATCGATCTACTAAGGGGTTGGGCTAGCGATAGTTGTTGTTCGTTCGATGGCTGTCCCGTCCACAGCATTGGCAATCGACATAGAGAGTGGAGTGAGAGAAAACGGCAGGACAGCAGTTCTTGTCGGCTTCGCTCTTTCTATCTCGTGTCTGTTTTTCTTATTAGTCGTTTGTCTGTTGAGTTTATGTCTTCCCTAATTTTTTTCCTTTCAAACTAACTAGTTCAATTATTTATAATGCATTTGATTTTCGAAATAGTTCTGCGATTTCAATACTTTTAGTTGTTCCTTACTATACTGATTGCAGCAATCATGTCTAAGCCAAGAGTTGGAATTAATGGATTTGGACGTATCGGACGTCTTGTTCTTCGGGCTGCTGTAGAGAAGGACTCTGTTGATGTTGTCGCTGTTAATGATCCATTCATCAACATCGATTACATGGTTAGACAACTCATTGTTTGGCATGCAAACTCGAACTGTTTAGGTCTACCTTTTCCAATATGATTCCACCCACGGACGCTTCAAGGGCACAGTTGCCTACGAAGGAAATACTCTCATTGTCACCAAGGATGGAAAAAGCACCCACAAGATCCAAGTATATAACAGGTTCGTTTTTATTTGTCGAAATATATGGGTTGTAAAAAGCATCGGATTCTGGTTCATTTCTGGAAAAGAGATTTTAAAATGTAGGAAGGAAGTAGTTCGTTGATCGACAGCCTCTGTCTACGTGACTTGCCGCAAGTCTGGGATGGGGGTTTTAACTTGCTTCTGCTGTTCGGCACGTAGGCTGGCCTCGCAGGGCTAAATTGATTTTTCCATTCATTGGCTCAGAACTAAAAAGTGCTGGATAGTGAAGACAAATCGCAGCGCTTTCTAGAAATAGCAGTTTAACTTATGAGAAAAGAACGGACTAAGCCCAAAACATTTCTTGACATTTTTGAATGATCAAGTCCTATCATAATTATCTTCGGTTGTAGTCGCGATCCTGCTGAGATCCAATGGGGAACTGCTGGAGCTGACTTCGTCGTTGAATCCACAGGAGTTTTCACTACTATTGAGAAGGCTTCTGCTCATTTGAAAGGAGGTGCTAAGAAAGTTATCATCTCCGCTCCTTCTGCTGATGCTCCAATGTTCGTTATGGGAGTTAACCACGAACAATACAGCGCTGCTAACGATCACATTATTAGGTATGTAAAGCTTTGTCTTTGATCTTTATAGTAATTTCAGTAATGCTTCCTGCACTACTAACTGCTTGGCTCCCCTTGCTAAGGTCGTCAATGATAACTTCGGTATCATCGAAGGACTCATGACCACTGTTCACGCTGTAACCGCTACTCAGAAGACCGTTGATGGTCCATCTGGAAAGCTGTGGCGTGATGGACGTGGAGCTGGACAGAATATTATCCCAGCTAGCACAGGAGCTGCTAAGGCCGTCGGAAAAGTTATCCCAGCTCTTAATGGAAAACTCACTGGAATGGCTTTCCGTGTTCCAACTCCAGATGTTTCTGTTGTTGATCTTACTTGCCGTCTCGAGAAGCCAGCTTCTCTTGATGACATCAAGAAGGTATTGCTATTTATTTTGGGGAGGTATTATTCTGTTGTTTAAGGTTATCAAGGAAGCCGCTGAAGGACCTTTGAAGGGAATTCTTGGATACACCGAGGACCAGGTTGTCTCCACTGACTTCGTTTCTGACTCGCACTCTTCCATCTTCGATGCCGGAGCCTGTATCTCTCTCAACCCTCACTTCGTCAAGTTGGTGTCCTGGTACGATAACGAATTCGGTTATTCTAACCGTGTTGTTGATCTTATCAGCTTCATCGCTAAGCAATAAGACAATTAACACTGAAGGCTTGACAGAATTTCTCGCGCTAACGTTTTTTATTTTAAGTAGTACCCTGTGAGTAGAGTTTTAGAAAATGTAATTTTTATCTATGGAAATAAATCTTATGTATCACAATCTCTTAGTTCCATTTCTGTCTGTTCTTCAGTGTCATCTTTATCTTTATCCTCAGGCTCGTTGATAAGTGTCGCAGTTGAGTCAATGCTTGTGGTAGGCATTATAGTTATTTTGCTTCTCGAACTAAAATTCACAGCATAGCTCGCATATTGTCATTACTAGATACTTTAACTCTGCCCAGTTCACTGCCTCGTCTAAGTTTTTGAAAACTCTCTGTTTATCAACCACAGAGTAGAAATCAGTAGCTTTGAGCAATCGTTTTAAGTGTCCTGGAACTCAAGTTTCAACATAAATGTAGATTTTATACCTTTCTGTACTACTAGGTATGTTTGAATACCAGCTGCAATGAGATCCGAGTAAACCTGAACAAAACATAAGAAATCATTGTTAGCCTCCGTCGAACAGTTTTAAGAGTTGATAAACCAGAGTAGTCCATGTATGGGAACCCTCCACAATCGATAACAATTGAACAACGTTCTTCATTTCGACCTTCTCGACACCATCTCCTTTTCGCTGCCGATAGTTTCTAAACATATTTGAAAAAATGTGTTCTTTTTTTAAGTCTACCCTTCGAAAAATTTCTTCAGTGTTTTCAGAATTCATTTGTTCGATTGTTACGAACGATTCTATCTTCGTCCTTTCCCACTTTTTTATGCATTGCCACACTGCCTGCAATTCGGAAGTTTTAAGCGAAATAGGAATCTGCTCTAAGAATGGTTACATAACAAGCAAAAAGTTATGATGTCAAATCGTTTTTTTCCCTGTTTTTTTTCAAAAGTAATCATTTTTGATACGAAATCAGTTTCAATTTGAAGTAGAAATAGAGTAACGCCTAAAACGAGATGAAGACCTTTGAATCAGATACAGTCATCGAAAGATACAAGAGAACAAACCATCGTGAACCGGTCAATACTTGTGAATATAAGAGGAGCGTCCATTCGAAAAATGCATACATTTCCTTGAACTAATTCTAAGTCTTTTTTCTTTGTTTCTCGGTAGTGTTCACTATCACTATCCTTTGATAGAAAATGCCATTTTGGTCTAATATAATTAATTGTAGACTTTTGTGAAACGTGTTACAACCTTTGAGTTCTCAGGATTGTTGTGCAAATCGCGAATCCTATAGCAAGTAACAAGCCGGGACCCATGTCGTAGCCTACTGTTAGAACGAAGCTCATTATCCAAATTGCCTTAATTATTTTTAAATTAATTACAAGTTGTCAATGTTTTCCTTCTCACAAAATCAATCTTAAATACAGGCCATAACTGTTTTAGTTCTGAAAACTTTGTGAACATTGCTTTCTGCGATACAATTATCATTGAAGCAAGAATGCACGATGGTAGATATTCCAATGCTGGCCCAATGTACAAAATAACAGAAAGTAGAGCCAAAGAGGAAAAAAGGCAAGTAAGCTTAACAGCAAATTGGTTTCTTTCATCGATATTAACTTACTTGAGTTGACCCACCAACAGCTGCACCAACAACACTACGAGCAAAGCCTGAAGTAACAGGGAAAACAGGAAAAAAAGACGACAAAACTCCGACAAAGCCTAATGCATAAATTTCCTGGCAGAAATTATTTTTTTCTGGTTTAATACTCGTAAAATTACTACCTGTCCATGATTAATTTTGTATTTATAACGCTTTTCCACTACTTTCGCAACGGTTATGTGGATAGCGACTGCAGTAATAGCTATGGCCACAGCGTTTGGGCCAATGTAGCTGATCAGATCAAATCTCGGTAGACTAGGTGGCGGAAATCTGAATAAATAGTTCAAGAACGTCACACTTCTTAGACATACTCTGTAGGAATATTACCAACAACCTTAATATTATAACGCTTTGACAAATATGCATAGTTGGTAGCTGTTGTGCCCACTACTGCCTGCAATCAAAAATCAGCGGAGTTGAAACTAATTATAACAACAGAAAAAATAACTAGTTCGGTTTCGATCATTATGTTCTGAAGGACGTATGCTGGTTCTACACATGTTTCTTTCACGTGAAGTTAGCATGTCAGATCACAGTGAGAAAGAAATTTTTCCTGCTCCGTTTAGAAATACCCATGTTCGCAGTAAAACGTACCAAGACTAACTCGAAAGGAATCGGAAACCGGAATGCAGTGTTCAGCCACGGCGATAGATATTCTTTACCATATATAAGAAAAGCCATAGAAGAAGATGATATGCACAATGTAGGATAATGCACTTCATGTATATTATTCAGCAAGTCTTGAATGCGCTGTGAACTGTTTTTGATTATTATCTTTTTATGCAGACTTACATAGTATAAATAACCTGGTCCCGATCTGCGTGGTAGTTTGATCCCCAGAATGTCGCCGATTTGAGCAAAGAACACGTGAACACCTCCTCCTACCACGAATCCAGACATTACCTGTATAAAAAATGCATGGAACTCATTAAAATAGCCTTACTTGTTCAGAGAAAAGAGAAGTTAAGTATTCCAAGCGAAATAATCCCATCAAAAGCTATTTGAAATGTTTCACTTTAATAAACTCGATAAGTACTACCTGAATAACTCCAGCAAAAAATATTATTGTTGTTGCGACATGAATTTCTTTCACTGGATTCAACCCTTCTGTCCACATAACCATACTTACTTCTTCTACGAAAGTTGTGTCGTTTCCGAGATTCCTTGAAAGTTCTATTCTGAATTTTAAAAAAATAAAACGAACTGAGTAGAGGTGGAGTTGAGTGAAACCAATGAGCCGTTCCGTTCATCTGAAGAGGTGAGAGAATGGTTCACGTAAGTAGTACCGTTATAAGAAGTACGTGTGCTCTGAAGAACATTTTGAATAGCCGTATGTGTCATAAGAGATAGAACAGCAAAACCACCTGAATCGAAAGAGTTATAATAAAAATGAATGATCACATCAAGCCACCTAATGCATTATGCTTTGATGTTCCGAAGAATATATACAGAAATGATGGGAAAATTGCTGTATACAAGCCATAAACAGGAGGAACACCCGTAATTCCAGCAAGAGCTATTCCTGAATCACATAAAACTTATGGTAAAGAGTAAAATATGGGGCACCTTGAGGTACTGAAAAAACAGCCATAGTCAAGCCTCCTGATAAATCACCGAAAAAGGAATGTGACCAGTCATAATTGGGCAGCCAGGATAAAATAGGAAGAAACGATAAAAGCTTGTTGCGGAAGCCGAAAGTTGCCAATTTCGACTTGAGGTTTTGAAGTTTGTTTGATACCTTGGCTGTAACAGGAGCTGTTGGGGCTGAAAATAACTACAAGAAAGATATTTAATTGAAAAATATAAAAAATGAGCACCTTAGGCATTGATATTCTTTTTAACTCCTCTCAGAAAAAAAATCAGTTTGAAAACTGTTTTTGAGAATAGAAATACTGATGCGAGCAAACTGTGGTTGGTCACTCACTCTGAATTCCTCATCATCTTTATTGGCTCTGAGGTCCGGTTCTTCCTTCTTCTAATTCTTCGAACAAACATCTTTAAATATTGACCACCTGATCCATACCTAATACTTTCTCCGAGGTTAAAATAAGTAAAAAGTAAATTGGTTAATGAACGACTCTATGCTTCTCAACTCTTACTGTTTGATGTGTTTACTCTGTTAGTTGCTTGTGAAATAAAAATCAGTTTATTAAGCTCAATAAATGAAATGGAATAGTACCAAGTGAAATTTATCTTTTCAATGTTGAAAAAGTTATTCATATGGCTTAAACAATGACTGCTTCTTGGCTGGTGGCGGAGACGATGTCATGCTGTCTGAATCTTCGCTTCTTCAATAAAATTTCTGAGATTCTCGATTGCTCTACTCTATTCTTACTTTTCTCTACGAATATCATCACGTTCAACTGAAGAGCCACTGAACTCCTGTTGACTTCTACGCCATTTTGCTCTTCTATTGGAAAACCAAACCTGAACATAGGCGTTTCGTAATTTTCAACAATTCAACAAATGGATTACTTGTATTCTTGATTCCGGAAGTTGTGTTTTTTTCATCAAGTCTATCCTTTCGGCATTACTGGGATAAGGCTCGCTGGCAAATGCACTTTCTAACATGTCTAATTGGTCTAAGAAATTAAATAAATAGAGAAAATATCGAAAGACGTGTACCTTGACTAAAGCTACTCCTGCTAGAACGTCGGCCGTTATTCTGGTCTTCTTCACTCATAGCTATTGTTTCTGATGGAGATGTGGGAGCTATCCGATTCAAACTATTCATTGCTGCAGTTAAAAACGGATTTAATTGAAGCTGAGGTATAGCAGTTGAATTCAATAAAAAACCTAAAATACTTATTTGTTAAAGTTAAGAAGATCTACACCTAACCAGGCCAGAGAGTGTGTTGAAAAGGAAAAGGAAAAGTCCCACCAGGTGCTGAAGGAATTCCAATAGAAGGTATCAGCCCAGAGCGCGATACGTTTCTAATTCAAAAACAGTAAGAAAGTATATTGTATCCAGATATCACCTCGCTACATGCTGTGCGTTAAGGAACATAGTGAGTTCTTCAGCTGCTCGCTCAGAAGCTCTTGATCTCAGAATTCTATTAATGGATGATACGGAAGGCGGTGTAGTACAAACAGCTGGAAAATAGAAATGCTATCATTAGGAGAGGAGGTGTAGATCAATAGTCAATAGTATTGTCAAGCATAACCTTGTTAATTATGTATCATAAGAGTCTTCCTATAATAGAGAGTAGTTTTGAACTGTGAACAAACAAGATATATGTGAGAAGAAAAGCCGCCTTTTCTTTAGATTAAAGAGCAATTAGAATATGGAATGCTTGTACCACCTTTTAAAGAGGATTCTATGTAAGTGACACCACTTTTCTTTCGGTAAAGTTATTTTGTTGACACGCGACACCTTTTGCTCATAGAGGAATAGTCAGAGAAGCAAACAAGTCAGCATCAAGTACTTCTGATGTGACAAGAAGAAGAATAAGAACAACGTAAAGCTATGGAGTATCAACTGTCATATGAAGAATAGGTATGAAATAGAGCCATATTTAGTTAGTTTTAACTGTGTCGGAGTAAAAGAATATTCTTCTAATATCTCATTATTTTCTTTAAGTTTGTCGACACCATAGGATGGAATAAACTAACTGAATACAGGTAGAAAACAATTATTTGTTTTTACATACTTTCTTGATGAAACAATGGATACTTCACTCAATCACAGCACGAAACTTATTTGTCGGAACACCTATACATACGTATATACGAAGTATCATTTCATTCGATTGATATGAGGATATATTCTTATGAAAGAACGAATGATATTTTTTTCATAATCATTTCCTCCTTTTAAATTCTAATTTCTCTCCAGTTCATTTAATAGTATCATTTATATCTAAGCTGTGAATCTAATAGTTTAAGAACTATAAAACACCTTCCGCACTTCAAATCTATTCGGCCAACATCAATACAATTGCGAATTGACAAATTTCGATTGTAAGCTGATGCTTCTTTGTTACTCACGAGAGCTTCGCCGGTTTCATATAAGATCACCTTAGCCACAAGCCCAGCTCACATACCGTAACCATAAGCTAACCTCAGATTTTATCTCAGACTCAGCAATTTTTAAAATTTAAAAAAAAAAGAGAAGAATGACATTTCTCTTGACAAAGACTCACATTCGTTTATAAGACGTTCGCGAATCTCCCAGGCGAATATGGTAGGATTATCCCGTTTGTACTGTTCAATTTTGGCAACAACCTGAGGTGTTGCAACCTATAAAATCAGTCAAAACATGATGTGCTGCTAGATGCAAAAATTACCTTTGGCTTTGTACCGGCGCCAGTCTTGCCTGGTTGCGGTTGCACCTGTTGTGGAATATCTGATGTCCTTTTAGTTGTCATAGCTGTAAAAAGTCACATTTTTTATAAGGGAAAGTAGTTCTAATAGCCAGCTAATCGCTACAGTAGAGAGAATATATGGAAAGATAAAGTATAAGTTTGTACGGAATTGAAAAAGCTGTAAGATGGAAAATTTTTGGTACTGTCGGCAAGACATCTGACAATGGTACAAGTCTGACACTTGTTCATGTCAAGAGCTATTCGGATTACTGTACGGGAGGATATTGAAGGCGGGGCCCTAAATCGGTGGAAAGGTCTGAAGGATATAACACATTTCTATAGATGGTTATAAGTCTTAATGACGATATAAAGAGCAGAAAAGACATTTGTTTTACAGGACATTGACAGACACTTACTAAAGATTATGCATGTAACACTTCAAATTATCGGAATCCTTTGTGCTCATTCTTGTAAGAAGCTTTTGAACCTTTCAAACCGTATTTTTCCTTTTAGAACATTTGAAACAACGAACGGAAGTCAATTGATTTTAATCCGATTGTTAATGCTTTTTTTTTTATAATCTTAATATCTTCCCGACTGTATGTTTGTTAAGTGTTATGGTGGATCAATATCCATCTTTAAATATCGTGCTGTGAACCAAGTTCACAGTAGTCTTTCGAGTCGCTACACCTACCGAAAATTGATCGAGTCCCAGTATATAACCAGCTCAATTGCAATTCAAAAAGCTTGGCGTGGAAACTATTAACTTGAAGAAGATTTTTCTTGTTTTTTTCTATCAAAAATATAAGATATGTGTAATAGCACAGCAGTCCACACCTGTCCAACTCATTTCATGCCCTTGCTACTATTGACAAACGAAAAGGTTCTCTACACGATTTCACAACTTGTATTGCATTGTTTATAAATTTTTTTAGTGTATCTTAAACATAAAATAACCATTTTTAATCACGTTGATATTCTTCTTCATAGAAATAACCACAATTAAATGTTCTATTGATAGAACGAAAGACACAACTATAAATTGTTGCTTTGTTTCTCCGATTCCTTCTCATCATTTCAAACAGCTTTCTTTCAACGTTTCTTTATTTCTTCTCACTCACAGCAAGAAAAATTCGATTGAACATAGTATTAGAAATTGGCAAAACTATAGTTTCTATCATTTTAATTCACTTTCCACGATATTACGTTACTTATTCCAATAATTTTCGTCAAACCTATTATATTATAATTTTAAGAGCAATGTTTCTTTCGTTCAAATCTATTCTATTCCTACTGGTTCTTGTCGGACTTGCTTCTGCTATGCGCAAGCAGGGTGTTGCTGTTAAAGGTCATCTGAAGTGCGGCCTCACTCCAGCTGCAAATACTAAAGTTCGTATTGTTGACATCGATTACGGTAAAATATCTAAGATTTTGTTTGGTTAATTTTTTTGATTCCAGGGCCAGATCCAGACGATACATTGGACGAAAAATTTACTGGCGCTGACGGCTCTTTCAGCCTTACTGGATCCACACGTGAAATGACTCCTATAGACCCTGTTCTTTATATTTGGACAGACTGTAAGGATGAAACAGAAGTAAAATCTTGCTCCACGCAACTTTAGTCATTTAAATCTTTTAGCCATGTCTTCGTAAACTTAAGTTTGTTATTCCCAAATCGTTCATTCATGACGGCGAACCTAAACCAGAGCAGTGGATTGATATTGGAACTCTTAACTTAGAAGGAACGTTCGGCGAAGAGAAAAGAGAGTGCATCGACACTCCCAAGATTTAGAATCATGCGTACCTGTTCATTCAAATAAATATGCTCAAAAATAATTCCACGATAGATAGATAAGTTAAGAAAGAACTTTCAATGACTGCGAAAACGCCCAGCTACTATAGTAACTTTGAGGGAAATTCGTTTGCTCTAAACAAAATTGTGCTTATTAATTGCTGCAGGCAAAAAATTGAACTGACTCACTACGTTAGAATTGTAGTATAGTGGTATGCGTATCAGGTCATAAGATTAATGTAACACGTGAATGAAAAACAAACCATGTAAACATTTCTATTAATGATTAGTACATCAAATATGATAAATAATTCGAATAAAAACTGACAAGGAGCAGAGAACTGGTTCGCTGACATCTGAAGTCACTTGAAGTAAGATAGGTCAAAACAACTACCATCATTTGTAGAATAAACAAACGGTTTAAAGCTCTAAACCGCAAAAAGAATAGGAAAGTTCATTATGTAGTTAAGATTTTCAACAATTTATTTACTACTCCTGTGAGTGTTATTAGCGTTGTACGAACATGTATCGGTATTATATCAAACATCAATCTTTCTTACTCTTATTCGCATACCTGCTCAAAAAACTAAAGACAGCCTTCAATAAACAGAAAGAAAATCCTAAAATACAGATA